TGGTCATGCAACACCCTGGGACCGACACGATGTGGGGAGAACCTCCATCCGGCAGCGGATCGTGATTCTGCGTGGCCAGTGGGCGCACAAACAACAGCAGCAATAGATTTAAAAAAATGGCGTGCAACAGGCGACGTTTCGAGCAATAGTCCTTTTCAAAGCGGAGCGCCGTGGCCTCTGCGTGCCTCTACCGCCCCCTCGCCGTGCCTGGCGAGTTTCGCGAGCGCGGCGGCGGTGCCACGCGGGGTGGACTCAGCGCCCCCAGAGGCTGCGAGGCGTCACCGCGGGCCGCTTCACGAACAACGTGAATCTGAACAACAGAAGGGAGGATGGGTTTCAGTTCATGTATTAGGTATAGCCCTGTGAATCGGGTGCAATCGCAACAAACAAAAACATGGACAAGAAACATCTTAAAGTGAATACGCGCAACAGAAAAATCCAGGAAAAAACAGCAAAGTCTTCCAGGAAAGGCACCGTAATTCAACGCTGTGTGCAAACATCCCAGTGGGTTTGGGCTGTGATCGCGTCCATAAAAAAATGGGTCGTTAGCCCGCCGCCAAAACCCCGACGCAGCCAATCAGTGAGGGTTGTCACGTAAACACACCGGTGTGTTGGAGAGTGAACCCTCGGCATTTACAATTTGAGTACTGCGACGTTTTGCTGGTGATTACAGTCAGCGTCACCAAGAGATGTGCCAGAATTGTTAACGTGATGTTAAATAGATTCTGAAATCGGACGAATTCATGAACGTCTTCGGAGTCATTTCCTTGCGGCATTGGTGTTCATATCGTGTTCACAGCTCTGAGCCAGTGGTGGGAATTCCACAGAGCTATGGCGGGGGCGAGTCTATCCACAGGACAACCACTGTTCGACTTCCACACAATGTGGTGCTCGATTTATCGGCTCCCGAACGAATGATGATGAGCTGAGTCACCTCTCTGGCCTCGTTGTGTGCTGTGAATAAGGGCCGTTGCCCGAAACGTCGCCTGTTACACGCTGATTGTTTTTACAGCCACGTTGTTAATGGCGAGTGTGTCGAGTGTTCATGTTTATGTATTCTTCGGAATGGTGGGCGGGAGGGGAAAAGGGATGTGGTTACTGATTAAAACCAGTCCAAATACGCAGCCAAATTGTTTACAGTAAACAATAAATGTTGTCCTAAGGCCAGACTCGCCCCCCACCATGGCAATGTCGAATTTCCAACCACTGGCTCTGCGGGGCTGGACTCAGGAGGTGAGGACCAATGCCTCTTCCATTGCCGATTCGAGAGAGGCGCGACATCGCTGGGACCCGCGGACACGCGGCCACTGCGCAGCAGCTGCGAGACGCGGCGGAGAGCAGAGAGGGGCGGTGGTAGTGAGGCGGAGGGGGAGGGGGTGGTGGAGGTGGAGGAGGAGGAGGGATAGAAGGGGGAGGAGGAGGAGGAGGGGGGAGGAGGAGGTGGAGGAGGAGGGGACGGAGGAGAAGAGGGAGGAGGGGGAGTGGGGAGGATCTGCGATGGTGCAAATTACCTTGGCCCCAACGACAACTTGACCGAAACGTCGGCTTTCTAGCCCCCCCCCCCTTCCCTAGATATATTGGGAGGCGACACATGGTAAATGCGAATTTTTGGGATTTTAAACCGTGATGAGATATTGAGACGTTTATCCACCAGTGGATTGACAATGGCTGCTGCTGATGATGATACTTTATTTGGTTATTTCCAATAACGATTATTTATAGAAACAAATCATTATAAAACAAAAGCAAGCGCCGTGCTGCTGCTGATGATGACGATGATGCAGGGATGGCTGGGAAGCATGCTGACGTCACCACATCCCTCACCAACCACGACCCCTCACCAACCACCACCCCTCACCAACCACCACCCCTCACCAACCACCACCCCTCACCAACCACGACCCCTCACCAACCACCACCCCTCACCAACCACCACCCCTCACCAACCACGACCCCTCACCAACCACCACCCCTCACCAACCACCACCCCTCACCAACCACGACCCCTCACCAACCACCACCCCTCACCAACCACAATCCCTCACCAACCACCACCCCTCACCAACCACCAGCCCTCACCAACCACCACCCCTCACCAACCACCACCCCTCACCAACCACCACAATCCCTCACCAACCACCACCCCTCACCAACCACGACCCCTCACCAACCACGACCCCTCACCAACCACCACTCCTCACCAACCACCCCCCCTCACCAACCACCACCCCTCACCAACCACCACAATCCCTCACCAACCACCACCCCTCACCAACCGCGACCCCTCACCAACCACGACCCCTCACCAACCACCACCCCTCACCAATCACCACCCCTCACCAACCACCACCCCTCACCAACCACCACCCCTCACCAACCACGTCCCCTCACCAACCACCACCCCTCACCAACCACAATCCCTCACCAACCACCACCCCTCACCAACCACCACCCCTCACCAACCACCACCCCTCACCAACCACCACAATCCCTCACCAACCACCACCCCTCACCAACCACGACCCCTCACCAACCACGACCCCTCACCAACCACCACTCCTCACCAACCACCACCCCTCACCAACCACCACCCCTCACCAACCACCACAATCCCTCACCAACCACCACCCCTCACCAACCGCGACCCCTCACCAACCACGACCCCTCACCAACCACCACTCCTCACCAACCACCACCCCTCACCAACCACCACCCCTCACCAACCACCACCCCTCACCAACCACCACCCCTCACCAACCACAATCCCTCACCAACCACCACCCCTCACCAACCACCACCCCTCACCAACCACCACCCCCTCACCAACCGCGACCCCTCACCAACCACCACCCCTCACCAACCACCACCCCTCACCAACCACCACCCCTCACCAACCACCACCCCTCACCAACCACCACCCCTCACCAACCGCGACCCCTCACCAACCACCACCCCTCACCAACCACCACCCCTCACCAACCACCACCCCTCACCAACCACCACCCCTCACCAACCACCACCCCTCACCAACCACCACCCCTCACCAACCACCACCCCTCACCAACCACCACCCCTCACCAACCGCGACCCCTCACCAACCACCACCCCTCACCAACCACCACCCCTCACCAACCACCACCCCTCACCAACCACCACCCCTCACCAACCGCGACCCCTCACCAACCACGTCCCCTCACCAACCGCGACCCCTCACCAACCGCGACCCCTCACCAAGCACGATCCCTCACCAACCACAATCCCTCACCAACCACGCACGCACCTCGCTGGCACCGATTTGTTTATTTCGTGTGGTTATAATTTAAACGCAGCGCCCTGGGTACACGCGGCGTTAGCGCGCTGTAATTGTTAGAGTCGCGCAAAGCATCTCCGTCGGTAAAGCAACGCCCTCCCGGGAACATTCCTAGCGCTGTTTGCCAAGCCACAAAGGCAAAACTCCCCCCCCCCCGTGTAGCCCTTAACAGAGTATACCCTTAACAGAGTGTTGGGGCGAGCACCGCTGTGTTAGCGAGCACCTATGGTGGCCGGAACGGCTACTCATTTAGGGAGGCCCGAGAACTGTCAAGATATCACTCGCCACTTCTGTTTGGTCGTGGCCGGGGATCGAACTCGGGTGGCCGGGTTCGTAGCGAGGAGGTGCCCCACCGCTCTCGTGAACCCCACACCCACGTGCGCGCGCACTCACGTGGGTGCGCGTGCGTGACACGATGAGTCTGCCTTGACCCCACCCGTCCATGCAGGGGGGGGATGAGAGGATGAGAGGACGGTGGGGGTCTTCCCCATCACCCCTGTGACTCACCACCAACAACAACAACAACCGCCATTCACCACTAAGTGGCCATGACGTCACCACAGCGCTTGTGCCAGGCTAGGTGCACGATAAGGCCACGTGAAGGGTCGAACGCCCGCTGGCAGGAGGTTACGAGACAGACCCAGGTGCCATGGTTTGACTGAGATGGCTGGCAGATGCACCACCTTGTGCCCACTCCTGTGCCAACCCGCTGTGCTTTAGGTCCGTGGCTGTCACGAGCGAGGGTCGAAAACATTCGATAACATATCAATACGTGAGCACCATCAGGACTTCAAAATTAGCCAGAGCTTCCCGAGGCTGAGCGCCGAAAAATCCAACCCGCCCCCACCCCCCTCCCCACGCACCGCTAGAGCGGGCGTGGCCCTGAGGTGTTTGGGGTTGGGGCAAGGCCGTAGCCATGGAGTCAACATTGGCAGGGACCAAATCTTCCAGGGGGTCTGGGGGTCCCCCCCCCAGAAAAAAATCTAAATTTTAAAACAAATTTCCTGCCTAAAATATTTTTAAAAATTCACTAACACATAGGATGGACTTTTTATTAATGTTTTACAATAATGTCTAATAATGTATTGTAATGCATTGCTCTGTTTTTTCTTTTTTACCTTTTCTTGTTTAATCACAATCATATAAACAGAAATCTATTTTAAAGCAATATATGGGGAGGGGGAACATTTTGAGCATATTTTTATATTGGGGAGGATGTGTCCCACTCAATATATATTATAAGTGCGGCCTTGGGTTGTGGTGCCCGGGATAATCGGCCACGAGAAACGAAGCTCTGGGCCCTGTATTTAACCACCCTCCCGAGGCGACGTCGGTCTCACGGTGTTGATGTCAATCCACATCGTGTCGTGGGGGGTGGCAGAGGAGGGCGAGGAGTGGCAGGGGAAGAGAGGACATGGGAGGAGAGGGCATGGGATGAGAGGGCATGGGAGAGGGCAGGGAGGAGATGGTAGGGCAAGGCAGGGGGGAGAGGGCAGGGGGGAGAGGGTGAGAGGGCAGGGCAGGGCTACGGTGTGACGCAGGGGCTCGCTTGCGCAACGGTCCGTGGTGACTCACGGCGGCGCACCCCTCTCGTGCCTCACGGCACAAGGGGGTTCGTGGCGGCCTGGGGGTCGCGGTGTGTGAGGGGTGGAGTGGGGGAAGGGGGGGGGGCAGGGTGGAGCGAGGGGGGTAGGCGGGGAGTTGGCGGCGCCCCTGGGATCCCAGGACCCAGACCGCGCTTCGTGATCCTCGCCATCAGTCGCAACACGGAGCGCGCGCGAGCCACGAGTGGAGGCCGATCGCCGCGCTGTCCCTGGACTTAATAGGCGCTCGCTGACAACGCTTGCTAGCGACACACACGCACACACACGCGCGCGCACAGCCACGCGTTCGTGCCATACACAGGTACACGTAGACACACACCCGACCCAACACGCGAGCGCACAGAGACGCAAGTAAACACGCGCACGTGCGCACACAGCTACGCGCGCACATACTCGTGCCTGTCACGTGCACGTGTATACAGAGGTACATACACACGTACGAGTACACTCACGCGTACACACATTGGGATACACACGCAGGTGCACGTACGCACAACCGGCTAAATACACAGACACAGACGCGAATACACAAGCGCGTTCAGAGTCGCAGGAGCAGACACACACGGGAACTTGCACACTCGCACACAGGCAAGTCCACACGCGAACACGCACGCTCACACACTCATGCAAACGCACGGTCAGCTACACGGCGGGACCATCCCAAAGCTCGAGAACGGGGTCGCGTCTGGACCCCGCGGCGCGCACGGGGCTCCCCTCGTCTCGGGGGACCCCGGGGGAAGCAACGGGGACCCCGGCGCCAAGGCGGAGAGGCGGGAGGAGTCGCGGGAGGTGAAGGCGGTGATCGTGGGAGACGGAGCGTGCGGGAAGACCTCGCTGCTCATGGTTTACGCAAAGGGCGCCTTCCCCGAGGTGGGTACCCCCCTGTCCCCCCGCGGTCACCCCCCCCCCCGCTGCCTCCCCGATCCCCCTGCCGCTGTTGCCGCGGCGCGCGCAGTGCGTCCGAGCCACCCGGAGCGCTCCAGAGTCCGGGACAGCTGTGAAGAGCACGGGCGGGGTTCCGCCTGCTTCGAGTCAAGTCAAACTAACGCGTGTCACTGTGTGTTACTGTGTGTGTGTTACTGTGTGTCACTGTGTGTGTGTTATTGTGTGTTACTGTGTGTTATTGTGTGTGTCACTGTGTGTGTCACTGTGTGTGTGTGTTATTGTGTGTGTTACTGTGTGTGTTACTGTGTGTGTGTTACTGTGTGTGTGTTACTGTGTGTGTCACTGTGTGTGTGTTATTGTGTGTGTTACTGTGTGTGTCACTGTGTGTGTTACTGTGTGTGTTACTGTGTGTGTGTTACTGTGTGTGTGTTACTGTGTGTGTCACTGTGTGTGTTACTGTGTGTGTGTGTTACTGTGTGTGTGTTACTGTGTGTGTTACTGTGTGTGTGTTACTGTGTGTGTTACTGTGTGTGTGTTGTGTTGTGTGTTACTGTGTGTGTCACTGTGTTTGTGTTACTGTGTGTGTTACTGTGTGTGTGTTACTGTGTGTGTTACTGTGTGTGTGTTACTGTGTGTGTTACTGTGTGTGTGTTACTGTGTGTGTGTCACTGTGTGTGTGTCACTGTGTGTGTGTTACTGTGTGTGTGTTACTGTGTGTTACTGTGTGTGTGTTACTGCGTGTGTGTCACTGTGTGTGTTACTGTGTGGTAGTGTAGCGGTTAGCGCGCTGCGCTATGAACCTGGCGACCCGGGTTCGATTCCCGCTCACGGCTAACACCAGTGACGATTATCTGAACCGGTCCTGGGCCTCCCCTAGGTCGACTCAGCCTTAAATGAGTACCTGGTGCGGTGTGTAAACATCGCCACTAGGGAGACAAAGGCGGTCGGGCGTGGTGCTGGCCACCCACCCCCTCGTGTACCGTTCCGGCCTTCATAGGTGCTCGCTAACAGCACTTGCCCCTACAGTCTGTTCAGGCTATACGGGGGATCTTTGTCACTGTGTGTGTGTCACTGTGTGTGTCACTGTGTGTGTGTCACTGTGTGTGTGTTACTGTGTGTGTGTTACTGTGTGTTACTGTGTGTGTGTTACTGTGTGTAACCGGTCCTGGGCCTCCCCTAGGTCGACTCAGCCTCAAATGAGTACCTGGTGCGGTGTGTAAACATCGCCGCTAGGGAGACAAAGGCGGTCGGGCGTGGTGCTGGCCACCCACCCCCTCGTGTACCGTTCCGGCCTTCATAGGTGCTCGCTAATAGCACTTGCCCCTACAGTCTGTTAAGTCTATACGGGAGATCTTTGTTACTGTGTGTGTGTTACTGCGTGTGTGCGTGTTACTGTGTGTTACTGTGTGTGTCACTGTGTGTCACTGTGTGTGTGTGTTATTGTGTGTGTTACTGTGTGTCACTGTGTGTGTCACTGTGTGTGTGTTATTGTGTGTGTTACTGTGTGTGTTACTGTGTGTGTGTGTGAGGGAGACAAAGGCGACCGGGCGTGGTGCTAGCCACCCACTCCCTCGTGTGATGTGCCGGCCTTCATAGGTGCTACTCGCTAATAGCACTTGTCCCAACCGTATGTTAAGGCTATAAGGGGGATCTTTGTCTGTTTTTTTATTTATCTGTGTGTGTGCCTGTGTCTGTGTGTGTCTGTGCGTGCCAACCAGGAGATAACTCAATCACTGACTCGGGTTTGCGAGAGTTACTTTTGTTTTGTGATCAGCTGGGTGGATTATTGGCACCATTGTTTTGCCAGATGTTGTGAGCCCTGGGATGTAACACGCAACCGGTAGGGCCGAGATCGACGACTCAAGGTTTAATCCGGCAGGCAACGCTTGGCCTCACACTGTAAAACGCGTGTCGTGGCCAGGGAGACGGGAGTTTGGATGCTCGGCAACCCACCTATGTACGTGCGGTGAGCTCACCTCTGAGTTCTCTCTCTGTCTCAATGCGGGTTCCTCCCAAACAGCGCGCCAGTGTCAGATAACCACCCAGGCAGCATGCCAACGATGGCATCTCGTTGCAACCGCTGTGCCAACATTGGGCCTATCCGTTCCATGATTACCGGGCAGCGATGGTGGATGGGCAATGCCACACGCGGCTTCCGTCGCGGGCAGGTCGGCTGGCGGGCGGCGTGAGAGGGGATCGCGCACGACGCTCGCTGGAAGCCACATTCGATGCGTGCGCCTCGAGCAGCGTGTCTGTCCCTCGCTCCATTCGGGGTCAGATTTCCGTGGACGCGCGGCAGGGTCGCGGTCCGGACTCCCGAGGGAGTTCCCGCGAGGATTCGAGCCTCCGTGTTTTCACGTCGCAGGCCACTCGAGTAGAACCGCGGTCGTCCGCGAACGGCCCTTCTGTGAACCCACTGCTGGAGGGAGGCCCTCTCTCTGCTTGCTTGTTTGACCATACTTCACTACGCCGGTCAGTGAAGGTTGGTGAAGGAGGGTAGCATCGAAGTTCGTTGGGACATAGGAGTAGGGCACAACAATTGATGTCGCTGCGCCGGCCACAACGTAGCTCCGCAGCAGCAGACTGTATAAACACGTGGGCTCTATGCACTGTGGTGGTCGCACAGACAAGCGCCGTCCAGGCTCCGACGAGGTTGAGGGCGTTGTTGGTAGCAGCCCTCCCTGGCTCATCTCAACGCGTGTGGCCTTAAAGGAACAATCTATACCAGGCGACGTTTCGGACAATGGCCCTTCTGCAGCCACGGTGGCCAGATGTTAATTACTTCGCCTGGTATCGCAGGAAGTCGTGGGTTCGAAACCCGACCCTGACGCTTGCTGTATATTTGCAGTGTGCGTGTTCTCCCCGTGGTCGCGTGGAATTTTCTCCGCGTCCTCCGGTTTTCCCCTCCACATTTAGAGTCGACATCACCACGCGTGTAGACTATCTGGCTGCTGCTGCTACTGTACATTTCCACGTGGTGATTATGATGACAAGACACATTCGTCGAGCTACCATTCGTGGCCAGATCGCTTCTGAAAGAGCCACAGAGCTCAGTGGGCCTGTCCTGGTAAAAAAAAGTTTTAAATAGTTTAACTTCGTGCATAGCAACACCTTGCCATGGCCGTGGTGATGGTGATGGCCGAGGGGCGGTCAACTGCGCCATTATGTCCCCTCGTCGCCTCTGAGTTCAATAATTAGAAGCGACTCGATAAGGATCTCACGCGAAACAATCACCGATAGCCCCGATCTCACGAGAGACAATCAACCTCAGCCCCGACCTCACGAGGGACAATCAACCTCAGCCCAACTCGCGCACGAGGCCGCGAGAAATGAGGGCCCCGATTCGCGTGATGAGAACGTTCCGACTGAGCGGAATGATTCTTTGCGGAACGGTTGTCAAAGTTATCCAATAAATGTATCGCGATTGGCATCGTCATCGTGCGTGTTTACCACGCGGGGAATGCCTCAAGAACCTCTCTCAGCAGGCTCCCGGCCCGGAATTTGGGCATTACGGGAGGCGATGATTGCTGCCAAGTCTAATCCCAATTGAGTTCATTTGCAGGCGACTTTTCGTCATTGCGATGTTTTGGCCAATACCAGCTACACATTGTACCAGCTATACATTGTACCAGCTATACATTGTACCAGCTATACATTGTACCAGCTATACATTGTACCAGCTACACATTGTACCAGCTACACATTGTACCAGCTATACATTGTACCAGCTACACATTGTACCAGCTATACATTGTACCAGCTACACATTGTACCAGCTATACATTGTACCAGCTACACATTGTACCAGCTACACATTGTACCAGCTACACATTGTACCAGCTATACATTGTACCAGCTACACATTGTACCAGCTACACATTGTACCAGCTATACATTGTACCAGCTACACATTGTACCAGCTATACATTGTACCAGCTATACATTGTACCAGCTACACATTGTACCAGCTATACATTGTACCAGCTATACATTGTACCAGCTACACATTGTACCAGCTACACATTGTACCAGCTACACATTGTACCAGCTACACATTGTACCAGCTACACATTGTACCAGCTACACATTGTACCAGCTACACATTGTACCAGCTACACATTGTACCAGCTACACATTGTCCAGGCGCGCGCAGTGGTCAGCGCGCTGCGTTACGAACCCAGCGACCCGAGTTCGATTCCCGCTCACGGCCAATACCAGTGATAATTATTCGAACCGGTCCCCTAGGCTCAGCCTCAAATGAGTAACCGGCGCGGTGTGTAGTAAACATTGCCATTGGGGAGACAAAGGCGGCCGGGCGTGGTGGTGGCCACCCACCCCCTCGTGTGCTGTGTCGGCCTTCATAGGTGCTCGCTAACAGCACTTGACCCAACCGTCTGTCAGGCCATGAGGGGGAGCTTTGGATTATTATTTTTTAGCTTGTGGCCGAATGCCATTAATCGCTAACACGAAGACGCTGGCTTGACAAGTTATTCAATCTTCTTCTTGATGCTAGAACTTTTGTTGGCCCAGGCCACTCTCGCGGCTTGCGACCCTATCCCCCGGCATCTCGAGTTCTCACCCGCGGTTTAAACGAAACACAAATGAAACGAAGCGGCTGTCCTGCCGATTACAAGCGACTCGATTTGCGTGCTCTGTCACTGTTACAATTATGGCCGATGACGCCAGCACCGCATTGGCCAACTCTGGCGAGCCCACGCCACCGTGGGAACAGAGAGCGCGGGGAGTGTTGCTGGCGTCACAATGGGGGGGGGGGGGGGGGCTCTCGATAATTAGGGGTCTTGATTGGGTCAGCGGTCGCGGTTTCGTGAGATTTAAACGCGCAGATTTCCGAACACCACCTGGTGCCTCACCTGGCGTCACGTGGTGCAGGCGCCAGCCAGGATTAATGGGCAAGCGGTGTAATAGCGCGTGCGGGCTGCCTTGCACCATCACCACCAACATCGTCACCACCATCATCATCACCACCATCATCACCACCATAATCATCATCACCACCATCGTCACCACCATCATCATCACCACCATCATCACCACCATAATCATCATCATCACCACCATCATCCCCACCACCATCATCACCACCATCGTCACCATCAACACCACCATCGTCACCATCATCACCACCACTATCATCACCACCACCTCCATCACCACCATCACCACCATCATCACCACCATAATCATCATCATCACCACCATCGTCACCACCAACATCATCACCACCATAATCATCATTATCACCACCATCGTCACCATCATCACCACCATCGTCACCATCATCACCACCATCGTCACCATCATCACCACCACTATCATCACCACCACCACCTCCATCACCACCATCACCACCATCATCACCACCATCATCACCACCATCATCACCACCACCACCATCATCACCACCACCATCATCATCACCATCATTATCACCATCACCACCACCATCACCATCATCACCATCATCACCACCACCATAATCACCACCACCACCTCCATCACCACCATCACCACCACCACTATCACCACCATCACTACCACCATCACCATGATCACCACCATCATCACCATCACCACCACCTCCATCACCACCATCATCACCACCATCATCACCATCACCACCACCTCCATCACCACCATCATCACCACCATCATCACCATCACCACCACCTCCATCACCACCATCATCACCACCATCATCACCATCACCACCACCTCCATCACCACCATCATCACCACCATCATCACCATCACCACCACCTCCATCACCACCATCACCACCACCATCATCACCGTCATCGATCCCTTGCGTTCACGTCAACGCCCGTCATCATCGTGACCACAATGAGACCCTGCATGGCTCATTCAACTAATAACCATCATCATCAAAGCATATCGTATTCACGTCATCATAATCGCCATCATCATAATGAGACTCATCGTCATTCAGTTAACAATTGTCATTGGAGTCGTCCTCATCTTCAGACCCTGCGCCAGGCCTCTCACCGTATCCACGTGTTTGGTTGCCCCCATCCCGCCACAGAAGTACACCCCGTCCGTGTTCGAGAAGTTCTCCACCACCGTGGCGCTCAACAAGAACACCGTGGTGCCGCTCTCCCTGTGGGACACCTCGGGTACGCACCCCACCACTCCCACACCACCATCACCACCACCACCACTCCCACATCAACACCACCACCACCACTCCCACACCACCACCACCACCACCTTACCTACAGCCACAACACCTCCACCACTCCCACCCAAACACCACCATCACCACCACCACCACATCAACACCACCACCACTCCCACACCACCACCACCACCACCTTACCTACAGCCACAACACCTCCCTAACCTACATCGCCCTACTCACATCACCACCACCACCACTCCCACACCACCATCACCACTCCCACACCACCACCACCACCACTCCCACACCACCACCACCACCATACCTACAGCCACATCACCACCACCACCACTCCCACACCACCACCACCATCACCACCACCACTCCCACACCACCACCACCATCACCACCACCATCACCACCATCACCACCACCACTCCCACACCACCACCACCACTCCCACACCACCATCACCCTACCTACAGCCACAACACCTCCGTAACCTACATCGCGCTACTCACATCACCACAACACCGACACCACCTGCACCTCTCACCTGTGCGCTCCTCACCTGTGCGCTCCTCACCTGTGCGCTCCTCACCTGTGCGCTCCTCACCTGTGCGCTCCTCACCTGTGCGCTCCTCACCTGTGCGCTCCTCACCTGTGCGCTCCTCACCTGCAGGACAAGAGGACTACGACCGCCTGCGCCCTCTCGCCTACCACGACACCCACGTGATCCTCATCTGCTTCGACGTCACGAGTCCCGACAGCCTCGACAACGTCTTCTCCAAGGTGCAGGGGTCCCCCCACCCCGACTCCCTCCCTGAGCTCCCCCTTCATCTCTCCATCCCTCACATTCAACCCCTCCCCCCATCTCTCCCTCTCCTCCTCCAGAGGTATCCCCCGCCGTTCCTCCCTCCATGACGACGGCGGTGACGACGATTGTGATGATGGCGATAACCGTGACCAGAATGGTGGTAGTGACTTGAACGATCATGATAACGATGGTAACGATTATGACAACGACGACTAGCATTACAGACAAGGACGATAATACACAAATGAAACGCTAAACACACACACAACCACACGATGAAACTGCTTTTGGCCAAACATCCCAAATGCTGAGAAATAACCGGCAAATGACTCCGTTGGGATGACAGCAGCAGCAGCATCGCCCTCCACTGCAGAGAGACACCAAGCCGGTAGGACCCTCCTGAAAGAGTCTCTTGACACTCGGTGAATCTTTCCTGGGTAAACAAGCGCAACAACAACAATAACAACAAGAGTGGTGGTGGGGAGCGATAGTGTAGCGGTCAGCGCTACGCTGCGCTACAAACCCGGCGACCCGAGTTCGACTCTCGCTCACGGCCAACACCAGTAACGATTATCTGAACCGGTCCTGGGCCTCCCCTAGGTCGACTCAGCCTCAAATGAGTACCGGTGCGGTGTGTAGTAAACATCGCCACTGGGGAGACAAAGACGACCGGGCGTGGTGCTGGCCACCCACCCCCTCGTGTGCCGTTCCGGCCTTCGTAGGTGCTACTCGCTAACAGCACTTGCCCCAACAGTCTGCTCAGGCTACACGGTTGGATCTTCGCCTTTGTCTCCGTGCCCTCCCCCCGCAGTGGGCCCCCGAGGTGGGCCACTTCTGCCGCGGCACGCCCGTGCTGCTCGTGGGCTGCAAGAGCGACCTGCGCAAGGACAAGCTGCGGCTGCGGCGCCTTCGCGAGCAGGGACAGGAGCCCGTCACCTACACGGCGGTGAGCGAACGCACGCCCATCCCCGCGTGATCCATCGACCCTTCGCCCCTCCACCCCCGCCGCCGACGTACGAGCGTTGGACAGCAGCGCTGCCCCCCGTGACCGGCGAGAGATGTGCGGGCACCAGGGGCGCGTGTGGGGGGGGGGCGAGAGGTGGGTCGTGAGAGACGGGTGAGGGGTGAGTGAGCGGCGAGTGGTGAGTGGAGTGGCGAATTGAGTGGTGAGTTTGGCGAGTGGTGAGTTGAGTGGTGAGTTAGGCGAATGGTGAGTTTAGTGGTGAGTTAGGCGACTGATGAGTTGAGTGGTGAGTTGAGTGGTGAGTTAGGCGACTGGTGAGTTGAGTGGTGAGTGAGTGGTGAGTTAGGCGACTGGTTAGTTGAGTGATGAGTTGAGTGGTGAGTTGAGTGGTGAGTTAGGCGACTGGTGAGTTGAGTGGTGAGTTGAGTGGTGAGTTAGGCGACTGGTGAGTTGAGTGGTGAGTTAGGCGAGTGGTGAGTTGAGTGATGAGTTGAGTGGTGAGTTGAGTGGTGGATTTAGATGATTTTGCTGCTATAGATTTCCAAGTGAGCTTTCATGTTGTGGCCTGGTCGCTCCTGAAAAATAAATATCTCAGTGGCCTTAACCTACAAACATAAAAACAAAAATATTTTAGTTTTATTAGTATATTGTCAGTGATTTGTTTACCTTCCCTATACTTTGCACTTCTATCGTGTTTGTTTTGTTTGTTGTTGTTACATTCTGATCCGTTCCGAACTGGACATGTTTAAAAGAGCTTTATAGCTCATCGGATTCCTCCAGTCTAAATAAGTATTCGGGTTCTGGGTTCACGCGGGACGTCACCTGCACTCAACCGAACGGAGGGAAACGCAGACGCAGAGAAAGCCAAACACGGCCAGACGCACGGACCGGGGGTCCCGCCGCAGACGGACGGCGCGGCGGGGGCCCCCCCCCCCCCCCCCCCCCCCGTGCACCGAGCCCCCTCGGCGTGACGGGCGCAGCCACGCCGAGTCGAGCACTGCCCCGGCCTCCATCACCCCCCTGCACCACCACCACCATCATCACCATCTCACAGGGGGCAGAGGCCGGGTGGTCAGGGCTCTCGGCGTTGATCCGCTCAGTGCGACCCACTCGACGTGTTTCTCTCTCACGCAGCGACGTGGGATTTTTTTTTTGCAATCGAGGAAAACCCGTAATCGACGCACGAACTGTCGTTCCGTCACCCCCACCGTTACCCCCGTGCATGTGTGCCCTCCTTCTCCGTGTGTACACCCGTGTCCTCCAATTCCTCTATCCCCATGTCCCCATGCTCGCTCTACCCCCGACCCTTATGCTTCCCTCATCCCCGTACTCTTATTTCCACGTGTATCCCACGATCCCCATATCCCGCGTTGCCTTCCCCACGTCTCCGTACCCTATCTCACGACCTCCCGACCCCCGTCCCCGTCCCCATGCTTTCGCTCTCTCTGCCCCCCTCCACCCCACAGGCCACGGAGGCGGCGCAGCGCATCCAGGCTCACGAATACCTCGAGTGTTCGGCCAAGTTCTTCGAGAACGTGAGCTCCGTGTTCCGCGACGCAGTGCAGCTGGGGCTGCGCACGCAGCGCAAGGAGAGGCGGCGCGCGGGGCGGAAGGCTCGCGCGTGCACCCTGCTCTGAGCCACCGCAGCCCCCACCCCCCATCCCTTCTCAAACATCCTCGATCGTCCTCGACTATCGACGTGACATTGACCGCTGGGATGGACCAAGCAGCGGCCTCCTCCTGGACTTCCTCGGCCTCGCCCAATCCTCTTCGGCCATCGACAACCCCAGTGGCCGCGTGATGGACCAAACCATGGCCTCCAACAGCCGCCGATGAGCTTCTCCACCCACCACCTCCCACCCCAACTCCTCCACCCACCACCTCCCACCTCAACTCCTCCACCCACCACCTCCCACCCCAACTCCTCCACCCACCACAACTCCTCCACCCACCACCTCCCACCCCAACTCCTCCACCCACCACCACCTCAAGTCAACAACCCCCCCCACCCCACCAAATGGATTGAAGCCATGTCCGAGTCTGCAAACCGGCAAGTATTTCCGGATCTGGCACACCACATCCATCATACCTCTCGCTGTGGCCGTGGCGACAACAGCACATGCCACCAACTCCACTCTACCAGTGGACCGGGAACACAACCAGGGAGGAATGAAATCCCTGAACGAGCCAAACGCTCGCCTCCCACGTGCCGCTCAACGGCTCCTCAGACAGACACACGCGAAGGGACCAGAGGATCCTCCGACTCCTGGCCAGGAACTCTCCCCTCGAGAGCTAAGAGTTTTCTTCGTTACTTTATTCTGCTAACGTTTGCATGGCGACGCGGGGCACATGCCTTCAAACCCGAGATCGTTGAACTGCCGTCTTCGGGACCTGGACGCAAACCATCGCGGCTCGAAGTCGCGGGCGACAAGGGGCTCCGGGAGAGGAGCGACTTGTCTGGGAGAGAAGTGTGAGCGGCCCTCAGGAGCCTCCCCTCACGCGGGTCAGGGTCTGGATCAAGGATTTAGCCCCAAGTACAGAGGGATTGCTGCAATCCTGCGGGAGAGGCGCCCACGGGTGATCCCAGCCGTGGCTACGACGTCACGCTCAGCCGCTAGGACCAGCCGTGGTGCCGTGGTGTTTAAAACAAAGTCTCCGAGGACAGTGTTCGGCTACGAGTACATGCTGGTGGAAAGGCCGAGACACTCGACGTCACACGGCCGATTCGTATGTTTCGGTGGTGGTGGCGGAGACATCCGCACGTTTTTTTCCAAAAAATGCGAACAAAAAACTAAAATCTTGTACAAAAAAAACCTAAAATCTTGTACAAAAAAAACAATTGTGAATTGGGCTGTTTACTCTTCTTGCCTGCCCACCTTGAAGGACCATTGCCCAAACCGTTGGCCGAGGTTCACTGGCAGTGTTTCCAGCCAGTGTTTCTGACCCCCCACCCCGCCAGCTGACACTTTATTAATCTATAACTCGCTGCTGCCTTTGTGACCGTGCATCTGTGCACGCGGTCACCAACCTCAAGGCTGCCCCGTGGCATATTGTAGGCAATGCCGCAAAGTGACATTTTTTCCCCTTTAACTTATACTGTATTCTTTTAAACGAACGACGAAAGAAACTCCACTCAAGTTGTTTTATGCCACAGGCCACTCGCCGTTGGATCTTTGCGGCGCCCCACATTCCGATACGGGGCTGGGTGTCCGCTCCTGCAGGTCATCCACACGGGGTTAGATTCACGTCTTCACAAAACTAAAATCACGGTTACCCATAGGCCCAACCCCCCCCCTCCCCCAGCGGCCAGGAACAAACAGCACTATTAATAAAGATTTAATGGACAAGGAGTTAGTATGCTGAATTGAACAAAATGTGTTTCGAACTTGGGGAAACGGAGACGATGGGGAAGGCGTTCGACGGTCAAGTAACACGCCGCCGTGGGGATTCGTCGTTGGCGTTGGCCATCGATGGCGAATTCGCCAAATATCGGACAAAGAGGGAAAGGGATTTCGCCACGAACACGCGAATCGGGTCCAGCTGTGAAGCTCACGGAGTAACTGGGGACGTGGTCCTATTCAGAAGCTCCAAACGCATCCACGCTGCACGGTGTTCATTCGGCGCGCTCATCAGCGGCAGCGCCTGTGAACGCAATGGCATTTGAGGTCTGCCTTGAGAATTAACCTATTGTTCTAAAAGGGGCTCTCTCACACCTCGGTTTTAATTAAAGTTCACCCAGTGACTTTTCTCCGTCCACTTCGTGGGGCAGCTCTTGAGAGGCCGTAGTGGTGGCACCGCTCTTAACTCGGTTAAAAGTTAAAACGTAAACCCCTCTTTTGGTTGTTGAACAGTGACTAATGTCCAGAATTGGTGACGACGACTGGAATGATGACGGTGGGAGCTCCTGAAACGATGATGATGCTGATGTCTTGCGACAGCGTTTGACCGCTTTGCACAACTTAAAACCACGTGAAAATTGTAATGCTATTTAATTTTTTTCATTTTTAACAAGAACCGTAAAGTTGTATTTACCGGGAGGAAAGGATAAAAAGCAACAACAAAAAAAGCCAAATCTGAGACACGAGCCGCGTGGATCTTATCAAGCAGCAACAATGACGTCAAATACTGTTGTAGTTTTAATAATAAATTATTACAATACTACTTTGCACAATTGCCGGTTACATTTCTTAAACATGACACCGTGGTTACACCATGTGGGGCATTCCAACCGGCCCCCTCCACCGCACAAGATGGCAAGGGTGTGAGAGCTGGCCTCTGGGAGATTTCAAATCCACGGAGGCGACATTTCGTTTATGTAATCCCTGCTTGGCCCCCACACGGAAACACCACCAGTGACTCTGCCTCCATGGTCACGGAACTCGTCAAGACTTTGAAGCGGACGCTGCAAGCGATGCAGGGCGGAGGTGCGGCCCAACGCCCCGCGGAGTAGCCCAAGGCCGGCGGATGCTGCGGCAAGCTGTACGGCGCATGCACGCTAATCGGCAGAAAAATCACCTCGGGCGAATCGCATTCGGCTCTCGCTCTCTCTCGACGAACCCCCCCCGGCACCTCCGGGCGCCGTCCTTCATCCCAGCGGCGGCGCGAACGGCGCGGCAGGGACGTGGGTGCCCTCGTACCGCGCCCTTTTGTGCGTGTGCGCGCAAATCGACGCCGAGGCGCGCCGTCGTCGACGCTCAAAAGTAAAATTAGGTGAGCTTTAAAACGTAGAGTCAGCACTCTCGCTGTTGTCGGCGCAGGTCGATATAAAAATGGATGAACGTTTCTTCGTAACACGGACGGCTCTGGGTTTGTCGGGGGTCGCGGTTTCTCAGGCGCTCTTGTCCTTGTCGCCCGTGCCCTCGTGTACGCTCTGCACCTTCTGCTGGATCACCCGCAGCGTGGTGAGGAGGTTCCCACCGAAGAGCACAAGGAAAGTGAGCGCCAGCACGAACACCTGCGCACGAGGGGACGGCGGCTCCAGGTTAGGCGACGGCGCTGCCGCTTGCGACGACGGTGCCACGCGGCGGCGGCTCGCGTGCCAGCCCACGCCGCGCACACCGGATGGCCAAAAGCCTTTAAGGAAACGTACGTTGTTGCTCGCACCAACGTAAACGTCGCGGCTTAGCTGTGGAAACTCAGATTTCAGGTTTACGGTGACAACCCAAGGCAAGGTTTAAGAATCGTCGCATTATTACGCGACAACACCGAGTCGTGCCGCCGCTCGGGGCATTTGGACGCGGCGAGCAAAACAGACATTGTCACCTCCTAAGCCCGCGAAAGCGGTGAGAGATTACAAAATAAATGCACATTTTTGTCGTGGGCGTGAGGACGCCGAAGATTTCAGCGTGCGTCTCACCTGCCACTCCTTGCACTCCTTGTGCTGAGCCAGCTTGAACAGCGTGATGGAGTTGTACAGCTGCCACAACTTGAAACACACGAGCGGCGTGCTCGCGATTAGGGCGTACCAGCAGGGGTTCACAGTTCACAACAAAGAAGACAAACATCGGGTCGCAGCGAACAGTCCCTTTGTCAGCGGTTCGGGATTACACGCAAATATTTAATTATCGTCGCTCACAATGCACGCGGAAAGTATGCGGAGCATGCGCAAGTTCGAAGTTCATGTTGGCTTGGTTCAGGTTAGCCACCCACCCCCCCGTCCAAATTCCTCGCGGGCTGCAGGGGGCGAGAAGGCGTGTTAGCAGCAGCGGCGAGTGTCCCCGCCTGGCACACAGGAAGATAGTCTCCGCCAGTCGTATGGCGACGCAAATTTGCAGAGAGAAGCCTATTTAATCCAGCAATTGCCCACCCGCCTTTACTTATGCAAATGACAGAAACATTGAGATGTCTATCCCTTGATTACATTCCACACCGATGGGGTTTTCAGGTTGTACCGCGTATGTTGTTTGGTAATAACCTGAAAACACACACCGGCGAGATATACGGCACAACCGCGGAAGCCTATGTAGTGAAAACCAAATTCCGCTTGTGCTGCGGGTTTCACGTCATGAGGCAAAGGAGACTTAAATTTTGAACTCTCTCACAGCGAAGTCGCATCAACAGGAATCTTTATCCGCACTTGGGACACACCTTTTAAAAGCCTTTCAAAGAGTGTTGGTAGCACGTCAATAAAAGATAACACTCGTCATCCTCAAGAAAAGCCAGTCTGGTGGCTTTTCTTGTGCACTCATCGGTGACCGGGCCGAGTCCATCAACTCGCCGCACACGCCAACCCGATCTATTAGCGGACAGTGGCCCGGATGTGATCCCAGGACCTCAGCAGCGCTGGCTCAGTGCCCCAATGCGGTGCGAGCCTCCGGGCTGCCCGGTCGCCTCCCACTCATTCTCTTGCGCAAGATGGACCCTGTGGGCTGTATTTACGCAAGGACGGTTTAGTTCTAATTTTGGACGTAAGTCTCATACATGAGCTCTTACGGCTATTCATATGAGCACGCAAGAGACCGCCGCTGTGGTTTTCACCCAATCTTCTCGATAGTTAATTTACATAGCGTGGCGCAAGCGTCCGTAACCCTCCGCGTAACCGCCAAGGGCAGAGCGGCGGCGCAGCAGCGGTTAGCCCGCCGCGCTGTGAATCCGGCGACCCGAGTTCGATAAACCGACCAGGGCTAACAGCGGGACCAGTCGGTGGTCCCGCCACTCCCTCCCCTTCCGATGAAACGTTTGGGGGAGGCCACGCAAACCGACCCGGCGGCAGGCGGCGTTACGGGCTCGGCCGCCAGGCTCGCTGGATTAAGTGGGCGACCGAAATCGTAAAGAGAGCACCTGGGGCACGTGCAGAGGAGCTAGACAGAAAGGGGGCACAACGCACGCCGATGCGTATGCGAGACTCGGGGTTAAAACCCACGGCGCGGTGGCGTGGCTCCTCCTCCCGTGTGCTTCGGGATCACGGAGGCTACGGTGCCAAATGTGCCGGCCGTGCCTGCCACACCCTTGGGGAGAGGATCCTGGCAGAGCCGGGCGTGGTGGTCGCACGCCTGTTGTGGTGAATCTGGCAGGGCACCTGCCGGGTGTATTCACCGTAAAAAATATATACGCGGTGTCTGCTTCACATTGGGACGTTGGAGATCCCGTGATGTCATTCGCATGAATAGGCCATTGTGTGCCGGCGTCATGGTCCAAGTAAAACATTCATTAAAATCATAAAATGTAATGGTAATTATTACGATGCAATTACATTCATTACATCGAGATCTTCCCAAAGATGGCCTGTCGGCCAAAACGACAAAGCTTTGCTCGGTGTGAACTCACGTGGCCAAAGAAGAGGAACGGAAGCAGGAACGTGAGTCCACGCCACATCCACGACTGGAACCCCTCTGGGTCACACGAGGGCAAGAGAAAGACACGCGCACACACACACGCACACACACATGCGCGCACACACACGCACACACACACACACATGCAAATGGAGATGGACGCAGACAGATGCATGCTCACACAAACAAAGACATACATGCGCACGCAGGCAAATGCCAAAGATCCCCCGTATAGCCTGTAACAGACTGGTGGGTCAAGTGCTGTTAGTGAGCACCTTTGAATCTCGGCACGGCACACGAGGGGGTGGGTGACCAGCACCACACTCGGTTGCCTTTGTCTCCCCAGTGGCGATGTTTACACAGCACACTGGCTACTCATTTTAGGCTGAGTGGACTTAGGGGAGGCCCATGACTAGTTCAGATGATCGTTACTGGTGTTGGTCGTGAGCGGGAATCGAACTCGCCGGGTTCGAAGCGCAGCGCACTAACCGCTACGCTACCGCTCCCCACTGGCAGACACGCACATGCCTGACAAGACGCTCAAACATACACACACAAGCGTCCACGGGTCACGAGACAGAATGTGCCGTGGCCCTGCGGTCAAGGCCATTCCAAAGGTGGCAGGAGGAACAAAGCGCCGGCGAGGCATTGAAGGAGCGACGCTCACCAACGGTCAGATCCATGTTGTGCCTGTGCCCCAGTGCACGCAGCCGGTACAGACACCCGCTCTGGTAGTAATACTGCAGGAACTGGAGGAAGTCTGTTGGGACAAAGAACAGCAATCGCACATACCCGTGGAAAATGCGTACCACCCGCGCACAGGGCTTAATGTCTCACAGAGTAATTTTCGGGTCATTAGGGGATCGGAGTGGTTGGCACGAATGTATATTGAACTTCTTTTGCACAGTAAGTAGCCAACCGTGCTAATCGGAGGTGCGGCAGACTATTATCCACACCCGTAGCGAGAGCTATAATGGACGCGGTGTGCTGGATATGGAGATAGTTGCTGGTTCGTAAATCTGGACAGACCCAGCTGGAATTAAAGCTTTGTTGTATGCAGGGCTGTCCACAGCGGGGGGTGCGGGATCCGGAGGAAATCCCAAAGTGTGGGTCCTCCGAGGCATTCAAACTAAACCGGGAGTATTACATTTGACACCGTGACGTCGAAGTGCGGGGCCCCCCCAAAGCACGGGGCCCGGGGAGGTCGCCCCGATTTACCATACTCCGAGGGACGGCTCTGGTCGTACATATGTGCCGCGCGCTGTGATTGCGTGATGGCTGGTGGGGATTGGCTCGGGAGTGTGTGGGCGAGTTGGAGGAGAAGAAGGAAGCTCACTCTGGTACATGGTGAAGGCGAGAAACTGGTTTCTGAACATCTGGTACATCAGCCCATTTGGCCTGAGAACAGCAAGAAAAAAATCAGAAGGCAGTGAACAAAAAGACTTGAAAAACAAGTTAATCATGGTAACAAATTGGCACGTTTGTTCACGTGACAACTTTAATAAGTGGCTGGGTTGGGTGGAGGAGGGTTTACAACACACTCCACGATCTTACTCAAAATTAAATTATAACTCATATTGGTCATGAAAGCCTACGTGTTAGATACACACGATGTTTGATCACTCTTGCGTCGAGGATTAAATATGAACTACATCAGCGACTGGAAGACAGTCAGCCAACTCGATGTATTGGTTCTAAAAGTTCAACTTTTACAGTGACTGATGCCGTCTGAGGTCTTTTACAATGACGCTTGACCAGGAAAGCTGCAAAATAAATACAAAAAAATCTATGTATAGGCATGCATTTGGCTGCCTCCTCTGAATTCAAACCGTGTAAATGCACACGGACCGAAACACATGACAGCTCTTAACTTTCGTGCCAGCTCTCCCAAAACGATGGGAGTTCAAAGTTTTCGGCGACCTGTGACCAACCCAGGTTCCTCAAGCGTAGGGAGTGGACGGTCTCAGGCCATGTCACCAACAACGGTGGCACGGCCGAGTGGTAGCGCAGTTCATTGCAGAGGTTCGTGGTTCGATTCTAGTGGCCGCCCTGGTTAATTTTTTGCGTGTGTCTAGTTTGCTGTCCTTCCCCCGCACCTCCGATTAGCACGGTTGGCTACGTACTTTGTGAAAGAAGTTCAACATACATACATTACAGTGGTTGTAATAACCACGATGATAACAGTGGATGTTAAAGATCCCCCCAACGTCATCCACAACATCAGACCATTATTACATGCCAGCACCATTATCCAAACTTGCAAGTTAAAAAAGTAACCCCCCGCAAAATACTCGATTGGAATTTTACACGACAGTCATCGCCCCCCCCCCTGCTGGCAGACTAACGCCCCAGAGGTCACTCGTGCAAACGAGAATATCCCGGTTCTCTCCAGTTGTCACCTGGATAGCTGGGTGCATTTCGTTTGATCTGCCAAGTGTTACATGTGTCGGTAACAGGGCACCTGGGAGGGTATGGATAAGATGCAGCTTAAGGGAGCTCAGAACTTATTCTTTGATGTCAACTTTCTCTGGCCATTTTCTGACACGCATTGATTGATGTTACACCGCTTGCTGCTCTTTCTTGATCTCGCAACCAGAACTTGAATCGGGAAATTGCAACCTTTCTACGAATGTTTTTCAGGGTTCCTGAAAAAAAAGTCTTGAGAACCAGCGTGACTTTCGTCGCTAAAAGCAGGCGAAACGATATAATCACAATAACGACGCCGTTCAACGTTGCGTCAGTGTCGGCGCGTGAGCGTACCAGGTGAGCATCGTTCCCGAGAGGAAAGCGGACACGTAGTGGTGCGCCACCCACCAGCCTTTAATCCTGCCGGGGATAGACCGCATGGAAAGTTGTGACAAGCTGCCATCGCCATTTTGTACATCGATCATCCATAAATGCCACCATTCGTGTCTTATCGTCACTGCACATCGGTACGTGTTGTTTGGTGTACAAAAACAAAAATAAAAAATGTCACATATTAAGAATTATATATTATATATATCAGCAATTCATTCCTGGAAGTTTTTGGAAATGTCACATGCACAATTTTATGAAGTGCAAGACACTGTCAGTTTTTTTATTATTATTATTATTTGTTAGGGGAGCACTCACGTCAGCATAACCCCGTGTGTGTGCGCAATTAAGAGTTGGCCGTCATGTTCACATGCAGGCACTTTTGGCAATCCACTGCTGGATGAGGTCCTCCCCACGCCGTGCGGGTCGTGACCATACTTCACCACGCTGCTCAGTGCGGCTTGGTGAAGGCGGGGAGCATATACGTTGGAGATGTTACTACCATAGAACAATTAATGTTGCTGCGCTGCCCTTTGGTGACAAGGCAGCGCCTGCCAGCCACCTACAAATCAAACGAATCGCAAACAAGCATCGTCTACCCATAATTTCACAAAGGAGATACCGGGGGTGGGGGGTGGTACCGGCGCGAATGAATCAGGCGTCGACTTTTAGCGAGGGGGGGTGGGGGGGTAGAACTCTTCAGTGAAAATAAACCACAGGCCTGCGTGGGCCTGGCGAGCGGCGAGCATGTGACACTCACCGAGAGCCATTGCTGATGAGAACGCTCTCGCGGATGGTGAGTGTGCAGTAGTACCACACGAGCAGGAAGTTCAGAATCTCGTCCGTCACCCTGAAATCACACGGCAGCGGCGGCGGCCGGGAGCGGGGGAACAAAGCAATGTTCCAACGTTTTAATCGCTCTCTCGCGTAAGAGTCCACGCAACGCCGCTTGTGGCTGTGTTAAACAGCGATGGTAAAGGATGCGCTTGGACGTTATCGTTTACGTCTTTTGCACGGTGGGAATTGTGTTCCGCACGCTTTTATGATGTGCTGGCTTACGCCAGTAACATTTCTGTTTTTACTCTGCCGTACCAAAGACATTTTACAGATTCACTCACGCGTGTTCACACATATACTCGTACACACACATATACTCGTACACACACATATACTCATAGACAAAACAAAGGTACCCCAGATAGCCAATGACAGACTGTTGGGGAAGAAAGCACATTCCCCAACAGTCCCTCACAGGCAATCGACCAGCACCCATGAAGGCCGGCACAGCACACGAGGGAGCCGATTTCTCAGCACCGCGTTCAGCCACCTTGCTCTCCCCAGTGCTGATGTTTAGACACCGCACTCGGTATTCATTTAAGGCAGAGTCGACCTTGGGGAGTCCCAGGACAGGTTAAAATTTTCACCACTGTTCTTGGTCATGAGAGGGCATTTAACTCGGGTCATCCGGTTGGTAGTCGGCGTGCTAACCGCGACACTACAGCTCCCCAAATAGATATACAGTAAAACCTTGGATTGCGAGTAACTTGGTCTGTGAGTGTTTTGCAAGACGAGCAAAATTTTTGAATAAATATTAATTTGATAAACGAGCGAGGTCTTGCAATACGAGTAGTGCGTATACGCTTTGTCTGCCGAGCGTCACGCGATCACAACTGATATACGAGTGCTTTGTATTACAAGCACGTTTCAGGAAAGACATCATGTTCGCAATCCAAGGTTTTACTGTATACACAAACACACGCACGCTCACAGGCATGCGTGCACACACACGCATATTATGAGTTCATAAAGAAATTAACCACGTAGGGTCTTGTCATGAAGGCCTCAGGCAAAGAGCTGCTGCCAGTGGACTGTGCGAGCTCCCTGACACCGCACGGAAGATGCGCTCCACTTCACTCCCCTCCCACAGCGAGCCGGTGAATTGTCACCATGAGAAATTATTCAATAATTGTCTAATTTTGACCTAATTTAATCCCAATTATAACATTAGCACATAACATGTTTACAATGTGCATAGAATGTAAATCAATCTGACACGTACAATTCAAATAAAAACCAGTATTACGTTTAATAACGATCAAATGTGGATATAGCATCTACATACAACCACACCTCAAAATGCGATACGAAAACAGCGGGAATAAATTGATCATAGGGAGAGAGAGGTGGTCAGCTACAGGCAGAGAGAGACAAGGAAGGTCTCGAGCCTGGACGTGGTGAACAGGGGCAGGGAATCGACAGCTCGGGTGGCTGGCGGCAGCAGAGGGGAAGGGTAGCACACACCTGTAGTTGACCAGGAATCGACAGGTGAAGGACGCGAGGATGAGGAGTGTCGTGAGATACAGCTTGAACTTCTCGTACTCGTCCTTGTAGGCAAATCTGCAGGGCATGGCCAACACGGGGTGGGGGTTACTCTGCCTTGCGTCACCGCTCCACATCAGTGAGGGTCAATGTGGCAGTGCATGCACACACGTCCAGCCCCTGTGTCAATCCACCACTGGCCGTGGGAGTCGTACGACCATACTTCACTACGTTGGTCAGTGCGGGTTGGACAACAACGGATGTTCTGCACAGCGCTGTACTGCTCACTGTGAGATCGGGCACATTCCTGCTGAACTTTATGTCAGTGTTCAATTTAAATATTAAGTCACGCAACACATCAGCTGTGCACTCCATAACGATTAAAATACTTCACAGCACTCGGTCAATCCAATGCTGGATTAATATTATGTCCGTCACGGGGGTTGCTTGACCGTACTTTACCACGCCGGTCGGTGAAATGAGGAGCCAGGACCATAACGGATATCAATCGTCACTGATGTCATCCGAAGCCAAAATTAAACTTAGATACCTCAGGTCATAGTTCACCGCCCTAACCACTGAGCCACCGCTCCCCAAGGTACGGGCGTCACAAGTGGTAAGCCGAGACGTCATTAACTTGCTGGGCAAAGAAGTGAGGGTGCCCTGAAAATGCATTTTATGATCTCACTTTCAATATAAATGAGTCGATTAAGACTTTTTGATCACTGAACGGTTCGTCTGTCACCGAATCGCTATTAGGTAACAAATAGCTATGAGGTAACTATCAGAAAACTATTCATATGACAGTTGTAAATCTGTTAATCAGAATTATTTTTTTATCATGTAGTTCTCATCAGGCCCCATGGTGTAAACTGTTAAATGCAGTCTCCAACTCTTATCATCCACTATATCTCTCTGGCCCATATTTAGGCGCTATGCAGAAGGACCATTGCCCGAAACGTTGGCCATTCCTATATTCTTATTTGAAGGCCACAGGTGTGATTGGCGAACGCAGTGAGCGTTTTGTTAATTGCGCTTGTGCATTACTGCCAACGTAGCATTAGCATCACCAAATAATTAGTTTCATTGTGAACACGCAGACTCATTTTTCCCATCTCGGGCTACTGTGGAATTTCCTGTGATGGGGGTGGTGGTGATGGGGGGGGGGGAGTTGAAATTATAAAAACCGATTCACATTTTGGCCAAACACATCGGCTTGGCGACCTTCCCAGCTCGTGTTGATGCAGGAATCTATTCGCTTTTTTGCTCAAATGGGCACAAATATTGTCCATTTGGCCGACATGCGACTGGGGGGCAGGTTAACACGGCAGGGTGACACGTGTGGGTCGCGCCCCGCCACCAGGTGGCGCCTGTGCACAACACGGGGATTGCCGAGCGATGGCGTGAGAGCAGAGGTGGAGTTTTCAAGTGGCTGCTGCTGCTGCTGTGCAATGTCTCTGACCTCCAGGCATCATGACCAGACCCCCAAAGTACGTCCCCGGCTTATCAGGATTTACCATACCTTGCCATATGCAAATTCACTCGTGATACACTTCCGGAGTGAATAGGCTAGCAGTGGATGAATAAAATAGAAAAAAACCAATAGGTTGTACTTTAAGGATGGGGAGGAACAACAACTTGCCTCCAAATATTTTCCGAGGGGCACCTGCACAGGCTCAGGCACTCCCTTGTCTGCTGCCACGAGTCCTCTTGGCTTTCACCCCAGTACTCACCCTTTACCCTTCCGAGACATCTGCAAGTTGCAGGGGGGGTGTTCCATTCACCCCCGAATTTCGGAGCGTGCAAGAGGCTCAGCGTTAATTTTATCTAAGGGAGGCATAGCGCCGCTGTTTTCAAAGACATTTTACTCACGGCAGAGAACCGTAGCGACACGACCGCGGCACTCGATGGCCGCTGACGCCTGTGCCACACGCCCTACCGCATGGCCTTGTGGGAGCTTTGGCACCCGATAAAGTTACGTTACATTAGTTTTTTCCTCTTGTTGTTGATTTGACGATATACGCATACGTTATCGGAACGGAATCAGAATAAAAACTGACGATGAACAGTTTGTACGTCATTGGAACGGGAAAGGGTGAATAAAGCTTTCCTGTGAATGCAGTGGCATGCGGCTGACACGCTCGGCATGTTTTTCCCCACTGGTGGCGACGGTGCATTACAACGGCGGCATGCCAGGACGTGCAAGTGGTGCAGGAAGGCGTGTCGTTGTTCACAAAGCCCGCGAGCACCCCCCCCCCACCCCCGTGAATGACGATTTTGCGTGCGGGTTTCCGGCGAATGTAAAGGAGGGTGTAGCAAAAGAGGAGGCGGGTACTTGGCCTGTTTACTCAGTAACGTCACGTTCACGTTTCCCAGCACCAAGTTCAAGTACAACCTGTGGAACAGAATACAAATTGTCACCGTCAGTAGGGTTGACAATGGCGTAAAAGACAGCTTTCACAAATGCCAACCCCTTCCACCCAAGCATCATTGCGGGAGATGGGGAAATATCACGAGTGGGTCTCTCTGAAAGTTATGCCTAAAGGGGCTCTAGGTTTGGGGGGACCCTTGGTGTAGTTGTAACTAAGTAAACCCCAAGGCATGTGAGCCTCAAGAAGGCCAATGGCACCCACAGCAGGGTCGTGAGACCCTGGATAACCTGTTGATGACTGAAATCGAATAAATATAACAGCAATGTTTGTGAAATAGCGCCACCATGCGCTGGGTCGTCTCAGAGCGCTTTACATCACATCCCGTCTCAAACATGTGAAAGGGGGCACCCCCGTGGCAAGTGTCCCTGTGGGTACAAGGTGACTCAGCACCTGGCCTGCAAGAGGGCATTAGTCTGGCAGTAGTGGGCGATGATTACTATGCATAAACCCAGGTAATGCTTATGTAAAATACTAAATTATTATGGAGATGTAAAATCCCAAATGATGATGGCTGTGTATCATACCAAAATGACGATTGCTATAAGTAATCCCAAATGATTCTCAAGTGTGAGAGTGGCATCCACACACACACATGTGGGTATTGCGTGGCTACTCTCCCGGTGGTGTCATCTTCCAGCCACCAACCACAACCAGGGCATCAACGGCTTTGGCGAGGATGACGTCTTGATCTTTAGAGGACTGCTTTCGAGCGGATGCAAGCCAAAAATAGCAGCTCTTATCTTCTTGGTATATACTCAGCAGGGACGTGCGGTCAGGGGAGGCAGGGGAGGGGCAGAGTCTCACCTGTCATACTCCAATGAAAAGTAATAAAATAAAAATAAAGATTTTTTTTCTCACACTTTTTATAGTCAAAATCGCCAAATGTGCAGAGCTCCGTTGCAAATACAGGGATAGACGAGAGGTGAGGCAGCATTTAGCTCAGCCTCCCTTCTGATTGCGCAACTCCGCAGAAACTGGATGGAGCATGGGCAATAAGTGCGTGCCTGGTACTATCTCTCTGTCACCAATGTAATGATTACATTGGTGACAGAGAGATAGTAATGATTACATTGGTGACATATTTTGACTATAAAAATGACTGGAATCATACAGAAATGACATTTATTTCAGTGGAAAAATATAAAGATTTTTCGTAACAGCTATTTTAATTGGAGTATGACAGGTGAGGCTCTGCCTCCACTGCCTCCCCTGACCGCACGTCACTGATACTTACGTGTTATGTCCAACCAACATACGATGTGAGAATGCTACAGCAGAGCATCTGATAACAGGCATGGTTCAATACATTCTAAATCTACACCAGGCGTGGACAAAAGATTAAAAGTTAATAGTCTACGGGATCATCATCATCATCATCACCTTCGTCAGCCATTGTCTACCCACTGCTGGATGAAGGCCTCACCACCCCATCACCAGTTCTGCTGACTTCCATCTCACTCCTACACAGAAACTTATCTAATTGCTCAATCTCCATGGTGGAGATGTGAAATCATTGATTATAAATACAAGTTGACAAGTATTGGACACGAATGTATGTATGTAGAACGTATTTCACAGCACACGTAGCCAGCCGTGCTAATCAGGGGTGTCAATTACCGAATGTGAAGGCTCTCACAGAACCATTAACGTGCAATTTCCTTAAAATATATTGTGGAGCTTAAAGCTTACGCTGCAAGTATAACTGCTCAAAATATTCCGTGTCTGTCTCGTAACGCCAAAACCAACAAGGAATTTTACTCAAGAAATTACTCCAACGATGTGATGTCATTCACAGGGTTACGGAAGCTGTGCATCCAGATTCTTGTTCGTTGTTTTGTCATGGGTTCGTGACAAGCAAAGCAAAACGAAAAGGATCTCTCTCCCACATCACGCACAGTGTTATCTTTTTGACAGTGTTGGGCCAAGGCGTTAAGTCAACACTCCGTGGAACGCGTTCAGATTTCTCTAATCGTCATTGCCTTTTTGGCCTGAATTGAATTTTAAAAAGAAACACATGCGTACAAATTATTCTAATTGATTAAAATAACCTGGAAACAGGATTTAGTAACTTCCATAAAAAACCAACATCATTTTCATCATTATCATCATCAAACATCCACTGCTGGATTAATTCCTGACAAAACCTCCGCCAATGGCAATACAACTAATGGGCTAAAGTTTCCTCCGGCTAGTTAGGAGCCATGTGAAAGGCTATTTCGACAAAGATCATGGGTGCATCCTTCCTGTTCCTCATACCCATTCTTTTTCGGCAGGAAGGCTTCCATGTCAAAGAAAATCGCCTGCCGTTCCTCAATCGCCGCTTCCACCTTCTCCACCACCTCCCTCTCCTCGGGGAACTTGGGCGGTTTACAGCTGCAGATGACAACGGAACGGGTGACGCAGACCCACACACCGTGGTGAGCACTCACAAAACCAACCGCTCCCACGCGCGCCACGTTCCCTGCAAAGGAAACGCCTGTTGACACTGCCACGAAACAATATTCCTAAAAAATATTGTTTCTATCAGTGGCGGAGTACGGGTCCAAAGGTCAGGAATGCCAAGCCGCGTGTAACAAACAACACTATTAATGTATTCCAGAAACGGTTATACGAATCTGGGTAAAGATACTCTGGAAAGGAATTCCATGGTCAGTTCATGCCAGCAGTGCGAGGAAAAAAGCAAACAGAGACGCGTATTGATCTGGAGTGCGGTGTCTGAATACAACATGGATTAGGCAATATGGACGAATTAGTCAGTCTAGGGGCTATTTTGACCATTGTGCAGGATGGTGATGGTGAGGGCTCTGGCACGGTTCAAATAACACTGCCCACTGATGTTCGGCATGGCTAAGAATCAAACGCAGGTCGCCAGGTTAATAGCACATTGCGCTAACCAATGTCCCACCGCTCCATTTCGCCCGAACTTGTTCTCATCGTTATTTTTGTCAATTCACTGGTGGATTAGGGCCTCCGCAAGCCGTGTTGGTCATGGGCCCGATTCTCCACCGCGCTGATCAGCGCGGGTTGGGGAAGCTGGGTAGCACAGATGTTGGGAGCGTACAATTCTGGTACAACAATGGATTTTGTTGCACCGTCCGCTGCAGACAACTCAATGTGAATTTTTAATTAAGTAGTAAAGTAATTAAATGCATGGTTACAGTTTAGAAATGTAACGTTCCACGTTTTGTACAGCGTTTATGATATGTGTGGTTGCACTTAAAATACTTTGTAAAAATATGAACCGGATTGTACATCAAAGCAGTTAATAGAGCATTTCAAGTCACTGTGCCAGAATGTTCCACCTTGAAGTCAACATGCTTCTCTGAAAACTTTGTTTGACAAAAAACAATCCGTGAGTGAGGCTTTAAATAGATCACCAACCGCTAACAGTATAAAACAAACACTAAGCACTTGGAATGTAGATAAGTTGTGAATGTATGATCCAGGACACGACCACACATGCGTGGGTATTAGTGCTTGTGTTTATAGTACAATTGTAACGGTTACCTGAATCAGTCCTGGGCCTCCCCGAGGTCGACTCTGCCTCAAATGAGCACCTGGTGCGATATGTAAACATCACCACTGGGTAGACAAAGGCAGCCGGGCATGGTGTGCCACAGTGCCGGCCTTCATAGGTGCTCACTAACAGCGCTTGCCCCAAAAGTCTGTTAAGGCTACACGGGTGATCTTTGTTCTCTTTTGTTATTGTACAGTGCGCATGCGTGTAATCCTGCTGTGCAGGTGAGAGGCCAGTACTGTTTGAGGGACTGCAGGAGGTCCTTCATGCCTCGCTTCTGCTTGTCGATGGATTCGCAGCAACTCGATTGCAGCCTCGTGACCTCGTCCAGTTTGTGCTTATACAACTTGTGCGTCTCCTGTGGGACCAAACAAGACAACCCACCCTCGTGTTAGGAAGCAACACCTCTGTCTCTCACCTCTGTCTCTCACCTCTGTCTCTCACCTCTGTCTCTCACCTCTGTCTCTCACCTCTCTCATCCGTCTCATCTGTCTCTCATCTCTCTTATCTGTTTATCGCCTCTCTCTCACCTGTCTCTCTCACCTGTCTCTCTCACCGGTCTCTCTCAGCTGTCTCTCGCCTGTCTCTCGCCTGTCTCTCGCCTGTCTCTCGCCTCTCTCTCACCTGTCTCAACGCCTCTCTCACTGCCAGCGGCGTGGTGCAACTGGCGAGGGCCCTGGTGCAAGGAAGTAAATGCGGTCCCCTGTCTAATTGCTCACCACTCTTTGTAGCTCGGCACTCTAGGTCACTTCGGTCTGTGGGCACTCTTGCACTTGCACCACCTGTACACAGCTACACCGCTGCCCACAGACTCGCATGATGCCTACGATTCACCAAGGGACCCACCCATACATGGACATTCATAGCCTCACATCGAGACCAACGGACCCGCATGGAGATCCATAGCCTAACATACGGATAAAAAAGATTCAAACAGACATAACGACTTAAGACATCCACAACTTCACATTGAGAGCCACAGGCAGTGGCGTGGCGTAGCTGGAATGGACATTGGTGCAAGGGATTCAATGAGACTTCCCGTCAAATTATTCCCCTCTTCATAGGCCAGGGCTTGGGCACCTTTGGGCCCATGGGTCCTAGAAGAGTTGCACCGCCTACAATCTTCACAGCTACACCACTGTCCAGATATTACACACCAATGGTGTTAGCCTTAGCCAGGAATAAAACTCAGGTCACGGGTTCATAGTGCAGTGCGCTTATCACCGTGCCACTGCTCCCCCAACCATTCTGGACCAGTTTCGACATTCAGTGCCTCATCAGCAGTCAGGGTTGCTGAAACCAACGCTGGGAAACTGCCAGATGTTTTTGTTTTGTGGCAGTGGCCTTCTCTCTCTTAGATATGGCTCTTAAATCGACGCAAAAAAACTACAACACACAGCATTTCAATTGGCGTCGTTGCGGAAAATATATAAATAAGACAATACAAAACACCAGCGGCAAGCAGATGAAAGGGGTAAATGTACAGACGGCGCAGCGCAGTCCGGCCTCTGCGTGCGCCACCCTCAGGACACGTGGTGAGGATTGCGTAACCCACCAGCCTCGTCACGACCGACGGGCGATTCGACACCCAGTGCCGAGGTCGTGGCTACAATGAACCCCACGCTGACCCCCCGACCAAAGCCCTCCCAATCCGCCAGAGGGGGTTCTTGCTTTGGAACGTTCTCGTATCTAGAACATCGCGCCCCCCACTCAACGTTGTGTGTTCCAGAGCGAACCGAACCCCACCGAGCCCCTCACGTACGCTGCACTCTATAAAGCACTCCACTCCCAAGCGTGCACAACGACTAACTTGAAGTGCTTGACCATAATTGCAAGAACCAAGACACAAAATCGGCAACAACGAATGCAAAAAAATTAATTTGCAATTAATTTCCATCGTTAACAACACGTCCAGGGCCACCCAAAGCGGAGATGGAGTGAGATGGCAACATTACTGCAACGCGAGTGATGGGGGCGGCGTGGGGGCTTCATCCAGCAGCGTATTGATCATGGATTATGATGGTAATTAATCAATGGTTACGAGGTGCGATCGGGGAGGAGGAGGGGGGCCCTCGGGCCTACTGGCGCTACCCGTAAGGGCGAGCATCGGCGGGCAGGGTGATTAGGCAAGAAGGGCACCCCCGAGAGGCCGCGCGTCACACCTGTAACGTCTTGTACTCCGTCTCCAGCTCGCCCCACTCGTCCATGCACTGCTTGAGGGACATCGCTGCGGGCGACGAGGCGGCGTCGTGAAATCGCCGAGCGAGAAACCCGGCGGGCGGTCGATCGCCAACGCTGGCGGAGAACGGCGAGATGCGTGCACCCCCCCCCCCCCCGTCGACCAATCAGCGCGCGACACGGGCACCACGTGACCGGCCTGGCTGTCAACACGGAGAGCGAGGATCGCGGTGTCAGATCAGAGGTTTGTTTTTAAACATCCAGCCACACTCAATCCACTGCTGGCTTAATCTGAATATTTTATTTAGGAATCCGATGAGCTTTGAAGCGCTTTACTTGCAGATGTCCAGTCGGGGCGGTACAGGAAAGGTAAACTAATCACCCAGACGCACACAAATACGACACGAAACCATCCCCAATACGATGAGGCAATGCCCCACTGATGTATTAAACTTAATTTTCAAAAGCGACCTGGCTACGAAACGAATGATAGCCCAAACATGCCTGGGGGAAAGGGAAAAAACATGACATGGATGTCATCAAATTGTAATAATTGTCACTCGCACGTCTGACTGAATGGGTGACTGATTGGGTGACTGGGTGACTGACTGGGTGACTGAATGGGTGACTGAATGGGTGACTAAATTGGTGAATGAATGGGTGACTGAATGGGTGACTGAATGGGTGACTCATTGGGTGACTGATTGGGTGACTGAATGGGTGACTGATTGGGTGACTGATTGGGTGACTGAATGGGTGACTGATTGGGTGACTGATTGGGTACTGAATGGGTGACTGAATGGGTGACTGATTGGGTGACTGATTGGGTGACTGATTGGGTGACTGAATTGGTGACTGAATGGGTGACTGATTGGGTGACTGATTGGGTGACTGAATGGGTGACTGAATGGGTGACTGATTGGATGACTGATTGGGTATCTGAATGGGTGACTGAATGGGTGACTGATTAGGCGAGTCGCACCATCTATAGTGATTGTTATCATCGGCTACTGCCTGGCGACGTGCCACTGTTCTACGTCTATGCCCCCCAAACAAAATTCCACTCAGCCGCTGCTGTATGTGCTTTTAAGAAGGGTCATCTCTCGAAACGTCGTCTCGTATCTATTTCCCCCTTTTAAGGCCACACACACAAGATACACGGCACCAGGTTGACGTTGACACGGAACATGTTGAGGATGTTAATTGTTAATTGTGCACCACTGTCAACACAGCAGCAGCAGCGCCAAATATTACGGTTAGTCGCGGTGAAGTATGGTCAAATAGCCCCCCAAGTCGTGGTGAAGTATGGTGAAATAACCCCCCAAGTGTTGGTGGTGCGGAGGGGGTGGCCTCATCCAGCAGTGGATTGACAACAGGGGGCCGTGTTTGTATAAAAAGGGCCGCAGGTGGAGATCAAACACAGTTAGTTATATATTCTGTATATATATAAAAGCGAGTTTCTCGGTATTTTATGGCGGTGTTAAATAATAAACATTGCGAGCTGGCCACGGATGCTGCGCTGTTGCTATGCGGAGGAGACTCGCATAGCAACCGCCGAATTTCATATCTAGGTAAGGAAAACGAGTGGTTAGATATCACTAATTACATATATATATCACTAAACACATTCCTGCGGAGGGAGCTAATAGGAACGTTGGGTTACTCGGTCAATAGCCAGGGTCAACGGCGGCGTGGTGTATTCCGCAAATATGCCCGACTGTGAGGGCGGGCACAAGCCGGCGTGAGTAGGTTAAACGTTGAGTTTTATAAGGGCACCACGGGGTGACCAGCCCCTCCCCACCCAGCCCCTCCCCACCCTCCCTCCGCACCCAGCCCCTCTCACCCCCCACCCAGCCCGACCCTCCCCACCCAGCCCCTCCCCTCCCACCCTCCCCACCCAGCCCCTCCCCACCCAGCCCAGCCCCTCCCCACCCAGCCCCACCCCTCCCCACCCCTCCCCAGCCAGCCCCTCCCTGCACGACGGACACAATAATCCCCTGTGGGCTGGTGTAATCAGAGGTTCCTACCAATATTACATATATAACACTAATTACATATATATCACTAATTACATATATCACTAAATACTGAGTGTTTAACATTAAGGCAGTCTACAAGACCCATTCAACAATACAGTACGTGCTTTCCGATTCTGTTTTTGAACAATTCAGAATTTCACGTCCGCTTCAGTACATTTGCATTTAATTGTCAAATGTATACATGAGTTTAATGTAAGTGGATAAAAGACATTGTGAAGCGGTGGAATTCACTCCCGGGGCATTTTATGTTAATATGTTCTAAAAATACTGATTAACGATGTTTGTGTATTGTTTACAAACATTACAAACACGACTTCCAGAAGATGCTGCAGTTACAATCCTACAGAGTGGAAAGGCTCGCAGCTTTAGTAAATAGCTCTTATCCGTGGTGGCGATTCTAATGTGTTCTATAACACTTACAATCAGTGCTAGGAAATGTAGTTGCGTTGCGTCACCATGAAACGATTATAAATCTCGCAATTTACTTAATTTAAATTATTATCACAACGGTGGTTTGTCGCCGGCCGCTTGATCAACAATCAGCAAATAATATTGTTTTGAATAATAGGTTCGAGTTATGTTTATCCACTGCTGGATGAGCGCCTCCCCCCACACCACGACGGCCCGTGACAATACTTCACCGCCCTGGTCAGTGCGGGTTGGCGAAGGCAGCGGGGCCACGTGGGCGTGGGAGCAGAGGAGTAGAGTACAACCATGCGGCGTGGCGGCTGCTGCTGCAGCATCAGCAGCAGTGCCCTCTGCTGCCCGCCACGTTGCTGAGCAGAATGTAATTGTATATTATTACACGCTTTTATTATTTTATTTTTATCACACGCATTTTATTATTATTTTATTTTACACGCTTTTTATTATTTTACACGCTTTTATTATAATTTTATTACACGCTTTTAATTATTTTTTACACGCTTTTTATGATTTTATTATCCGATTTTTATGATTATTTTACACGCTTTTCATTATTATTTTATTTTACACGCTTTTTATTATTTTATTATACGATTTTTATGATTATTTTACACGCTTTTCATTATTATTTAATTACACGCTTTTTATTATTATTTTATTTTACACGCTTTTTATTAACTCACTTTGTTGTTGTCGTTGTTGTATCCTCAAATCTTGTAACTCAATTTTAACCCACTTCCCAATGCGGTATCGACTGCAAACTTGGTATACTTATGTCATACTGATGACAATACTATATTCTATCATTAAAAAACTATATTTTTTAAACATTCTTTTTAATGTTATGCTTCGGCTTGGGTCCAATTGTCCACGTTCAACCGACGTTGGCTGTAATTGGCCACACTCCCCTTACGTTATGGCAAGCTTCGGGGCCACTTGCTGGAGTCGTGGCGTTCTTCCATTACCAATACGGTACATTTCATTAAAGCGTGTTTACATTTTTTTTATATTACTTATTTTTGATATGACTTATTGACAGAGAGGGCGTCTTGCCACTTGAAGCGCTTGACAGCAACACGGCGACACGAGAGTGTGACGGTGCAGGTGGCGGGTGCGTGCTACGAGTCGGTGAGTGAGGAGCGAGTGACAGCGATAGGGCGATGGTGCGCTTCGGGATTACGAAAGGGAAGGCGGGGAGATTGGGCGATGGAGAAGACGTGAGGCTTGAGAGAGGAATGGACCGAGGTGAAGGAGGGGGACTGCTCAATGTACAGGGGCAGTGATGAGTCGATGGGTAGCATTGTTGAGTCTATGGTGCAGTGTTGAGTCGATGGGTAGCAGTGTTGAGTCTATGGGTAGCAGTGTTGAGTTTGTGGGCAGTGCTGAGTCTATGGGGCAGTGCTGAGTCTATAGGCAGTGCTGAGTCTATGGGTAGCAGTGCTGAGTCTATGGGTAGCAGTGTTGAGTCTATGGGTAGCAGTGTTGAGTCTATGGGTAGCAGTGTTGAGTCTATGGGTAGCAGTGCTGAGTCTATGGGTAGCAGTGTTGAGTCTATGGGTAGTGTTGAGTCTATGGGTAGTGTTGAGTCTATGGGTAGCAGTGTTGAGTCTATGGGCAGTGTTGAGTCTATGGGCAGTGTTAAGTCTATGGGTAGCAGTGTTGAGTCTATGGGTAGCAGTGTTGAGTCTATGGGTAGCAGTGATACTCAATGTACCGTGGAAGCTGATTCCAGTGGAGGGGTGGCAAGGAGCCAGAGTGACCGAGCACGGGGACTGGCACAGGCAGGAGGAGGCACACACAGAGAGGGGATTGGGAGCGAGGAGGACGAGAGGGACACGGCAGGAGGCAAGTGGAGTCGAGCGCCTGGAGAAAGCCCCCTGCAGACAACGGGGAGGATTACACTCTCAGGTCCACCCAGGCAGGTTTACAGACCCACTCGCTGGCCACACACATAACAGCTATATTTTGTGGTTTATGTACTCTGGATGCTGTCAGTAACAGTAAACTCAAGTTGTTCACTGACGAATTTTTTTATTGAATTATTTTGCTCATGGTGAATTGTGTTTACCTCAATAAATAAATACTGCTGGGGAAAAAATCGTAACCTATGACAGCTGTTAAGCATGGTGTTGGTGGGTCACCCATTCAATCATTATCCAGGCTCGAACGTTGCTAAGCTTCCGAGAGCTGGCGCATTCTGGATGATCCGTCGAACTCCGAAGACGGCGGAATGGTTGGAACAGAAATCCTTCTCGGCGGAGTTGATTTTCGTAACTGTGCACGCCTCTCCAACGCGTTGCTGGCTTCGACCACGTGTTGTTGTTCAGCGTGATGTCCGACCCCTCTTCAGGAGCTGAAGTTCCTTAAGGAAGTTTAACACCGTAGTAGCAGGCTTTTGCGACCAATATTCGTAAAGGTTGTTTTGGGTTGTATCGCGTAAATATAGGTGTCGTTAATCCACCACCACCACCACCCGATACAGCAAATTTGTTCTGTTTTATCACGTGAAGAAAATGTGCCAATTAGTTAGCGCGTCAGTCTACTGGTGTGTTGGATCGTACGACGCCTCGCTGGTAATTACATCCAGCTTCTTTGAGCACTTGCTACGGGAGCTCAAGTTTCTCAACAAACTCCCACCATGGTGCGCAACGTCCAACCGAGTCACCCGAAGAAGCACAACGTTCTTCCTGGAACTTTGGTCCTTGAAGCGCCTGAGCTTGTAAGAGTGAAGAGTGAACACTGAATTTCCTGAAGAGGCTCCCAGAACGTGGAGCAGAAACCATCGGACACCATGCCTGAAAACGACGGGCAAGTACCGTACGATCCAAAAACACACCGGAGAGAGAGAGTCTAGCTCCTTGTCCACGGATTATTTTATTGACCGGTTGTAGCACCGTCCAGCCGTAGCCGAGTATCAATGCGACACAGCGAGGATTGCGGTGGTGGCGAGTGACTGCGCTGTTCCGTGGTTTCGCCCACGCCCCGCGGCGTTTCCCCGACGACGCTGGGTTTCCAAGCAGGAGTGGGAGAAATGAATTGGCCGGCAAAACGTTGGAAAAAACATCCCCTTGCAGCACCCGTCTGAACACGAGTCAAGAGACTCACCGAGGGTTTTAGAGATTAGAGAATATAATTGTTATTCTATCTTTATATACGTGATCCAATTCTAAAATTGTCCTGGTCTTTGGTTGGGGTATTATTTTAGGCCGGCCAGTAAAAATGTTAATCTCTACTCACATTTTCCAGTGCCTTTTATTTCCGAAGTATGACGAGCACAGTCGATTGACAATGGGTTGATTGTTACGATTAGGATTTTTGGACCAAAAGTCTAATATTATTCACCATTTGTCACAAAAGCCTACGGTGTACGATTTTAAAAAGGGCTGCAAGTCATGTTTTTTAAAATGTTTTATCACCCAAGGAGTCCATTGGACACCTGGTTACATTTGTCATTATTACGTTTTACTATGTATGGCCAGTCTTATTACACAGTCACTCATTACTGCGTGTGCACACATGCACGTTTTGCAGCAGACGCGGACACCTCGGGGTATAAACCAGGGTGTAATTTCTCTCTAGATTTTCCGGAAGGCTGCAAGCTAGGCTGGTTCAGAGTAAGGGATGTAAAGGCACTTACCACGAGGTCGCAGAGTACATCTCTATCACTCATAATAATCCTATATCATTGTGCCATATATTCCCGTAATTATATGGACCGGTTTATAGGAATATTGGCTACAATGAGGACACAACGAGATGAGGCGGACGTGGTGTGAAAATATATTTTTTAGAACCGTTCCAAACTGTTCTGACTGAAATTAAGTGCTGGGTGCAAACTATGCAGACTCATTGATCAATATTGACTCTTAATCTTTCTCTCTCTCTCGATACATGTATCGCCGTTTTACAATTCATACACGTTATGTAATGGGTTCATCACTTGAACTCCAGTAAGCCACGATTGGCTGCTACATTATTGCCACAGTGTAAAAATAAAATTATCGATTCGAATCGGGACCCTGATATCGTGATCATTTGAATCACAAGTGGGCAGGGTAACTCATTACACCCATAAAGAAAAACCCCAACCCCCAGTCGAAAGGCATTCACAATGCCATACACAGAAATGCATCTATGAACCATGTTCAAAAGTCCTTGATAAGTCGACATAACTTAAGCAACACAACTTACGAAACAGACATATATACTGTATCTTATGACGAGCGTAGGGGCGTGTGCGTGGAGCGGTAGGGTAGTGATGGTAAACACGCACTACCGTCACGAACTCGGCAACGCGAGTTCAATTCCCTACCACGGTTAACATCGGTGGCGATTATCTGAACTGCTACCTGGGCAGCCCTCTCCTAGGTCAACTCGGCTTTAAATGAGTGCCTGGAGCGGTGTGTAAACATCAGCAGAAGACAAGAGCCAGCCAGGCATTGCAATGGCCACGCCATCCTTCATAGGTGCTGCTCGCTAACAGCACTTACCCCAACGGTGTGTGCACATCTCACGGTGTAGAAATCTTCAAAGCACCTGACGGAAATTTTTTAAAGGAATATTGTATTACACATCTTTTGGCAAAATTGGCACTGGCAATTACAGTACTGTGTAGGTGTGTTTGTGTGTGTGTTCGCTGAAGCTGTTAAACGTTAGGTGTAATTTCATGATATTTACATATTCAGATATAAAAAATATATTGGTCATTGTGTAATCAAATTATTATGGCTTTAGCATGGGAGGTGACACATCTACATGTACAGCACGTGTATATTCACAATGATCAGCAGTGATGCCCCCCCCAACCCTCCCAGTTCACCCAGCCACTCAATTACACTCAGCACGTGCAGATTCCATGGTGTTCGAAGGCCCCTGATCCAGCAGCAGATTGACAAAAAGACTGAACACGTGAATTGGCGGGCGGAGCGGTGGTGCAAGGGTGAGTGCACTGCGCCATGAAGACAGGGACCCAAGTTCGATTCCTGCACGAAACCCCCTTGTTGCATCTCACAATCGACAAAAGAACCACAGACAAGATGGAAGCCGGCCAGGCGGTGAGCCAGCGCCAAACGCAATCCTCCAAGCTCTGCAGTCCTGTATATATTGATATGGTTTGAGCCAATGTTCACTCGATGTACATGGCTCCACTTTGTGCAGCATCTCGAGATGCGGTTTCATCTAAAACATGTAAACTTGTACTGCATTGGCCATCTTATACCAAAATATTTTGAAGTTGGCGAATGCCCCCCCACCCCATACCGCCCCTCACGTGAATGTAGCTATCGTGAAAGGCTCTCTTGTGTGCGAGCGTTGAAAAGCTCTGCGGTCTCAACACCGTGGGAGGACGAGGCTGAATATAACAAAATAAAGCAAAACAAGGCGTTTGCAAAACGGTTGGAGGCGTGACCGCGGAAATGCGCAATTTCTGCGAACTCCGAAAAAGTGGGAAGGAAACGGAGTTCCGAGTTCCACTTTTCTCATCAAAGCGGATTGCACTGAGACATAGGCATGCAGTTCCCAGTGCCACGAGACGTGGGCATGGGGTTCGCACAGCCACGGCAGCGTTCGGCACCCGAGTGTGGGCGGCATGCGGTGCTGGGGAGACCGGCGAGGGGTTGGTGGATTGTAACAGGGATGTGATGTGCTGTGAAATGCAATGTTATAAAGAGCTGCAGGGGTCAAGTTACATGTATGCAGAGGCCAGGTTACAGCCAGGGATGATGTATTTCAAGTAGGGGTCTAGTTACATCCAGAGGGTCAGGAAAGAAAGATGTCAGATAAACCAGGATCATGGCCACTCAGTGTTCATCGCAAACTCCGATCCTGCCTTAAACTTAGTGGTGTCGGAGGGATTATTATGGCGATAAGTTAGTGAACACACTAGTTCCAATTAACACGTCTTCACGACTGTGCGTACGGTCGGCGAGCTAAATCCTGTGGCCACGTTTCGGAGCCGAGCAAAAGGAAATGTGGCCGTGAGGCTCACGTTTTGTGCGAAATGACATCACCATGAACGACCTCCACACTCAGCCCTGGACCGCTTTCACATTTGACCGAGAAGATGGTCCGGGCACAATGGAAGGTGATGGTAACACAAACCGCCAACAAACGGCACGTGCGCTGCAGCACGGGGGGAGAGGTCAGGGGTCACACGTTCATTTGGCCCTGCAGTCCCATCATGGACGGGTCGCACGACAGCTCCTCGTGCATCCTGTCTAGCGCCTTGATGTCCCGCAAGTGCCGCTCGGCCGTGTGGCCCACAAGCGTCAGGTAGAAGCGCACGGCCACGAACACGAAGGCGCAGAGCGCGAGCAGCGTCACGCACATGGCGGCCGACGCGGCCATAATGCCGCCCGCGTTGTTCAGCGGCAGGAACTTGACCCAGCAGATGAGGCCGAGCTCCAGCAGAAAGAGCACCGTGCCCACGGCCGTGGAGAGCAGCCAGGCCACCTCCACGTAACGGTGCAGGCGCGGCAGCGGCAGGCCGGCCGGGTGGTGCGGCCTGTCCGGTCTCGCCGGCATGTCGGCCGCCGTCGCCGCCGCCTGCAGCGACTGCAGCGACGCGTCGCGGTGGAACGCCTGGGCGGCCTTGTGCCCCGCCGGCGCCGCTCCGACGCCCGCGGCGGGCTCGTCCCACGGGGACGCGCCGCCGTTCGTCCCCGGCAGGCTCTGCTCGGCGAGGTATGCATTGCAGGCGGCCTCCACGTGCGGCAGGAGGCACGTGCTGAGCAGCAGCGCCAGCAGGTGCACGGCCACCAGCAGCGTCGTGCACATGCTGAAGGCCACGAGCAGGCCCGGCGGGATGGCGTCTTCACTCGAGCCCTCCTTCTTGTCCTTTATGTCGATTTCCACCATGGCCACCTGCGCGCGGGGGGCGGAGACGCGATCCTTAAAAAGTGTGCCGGATTTTCCTCGCCGGTGTCAGGCCACCGAGTAATGGATCTGGCTGCATTTGCATCATCAAGACCCTCCAGCAACCCGACCAGGGCCGGATTGGGGTTCTCGTAGGCCCTAGGCACTTCCGTTTCGTAGGCCTTCAGGGATAACTTTATACAGTTGCTACTGCTGCCCATGTTACGACCGCCGCCGTCACTTGCTTGTTTCAAACATAGGACAACAACGCCTTCCCTTGCACTAATTTTTTTTATTGATAATGAGATTGTGCGAAAAACACCATTGGAAGATGTTATTGCTAATTTTGCAATAACATCTTCCGGTGTTAATTTCTCCCTCACCTTATGATAAAAAAACGATTGACATTGCGACGACTCTTGCCTCTTTGTATACATATACACTGTGCCTATCCTTGTTATTTATATTTACTAGACTATAGCCCGTCCAAGGACGGGTGTATTGCAGTAAATCTGAAACATTCAAGCGAAAAGCAGACCGCGATGTCATATTTATTGCATCCACTCGTGTGCAATTTGTAAGGCCGCGGTGACGCAGACTTATTTCATTTAAAAGTTATAATCGCTTGTTCATCATGACGTCCTTCCTACTTGTATGTCTCAATAGCGTTACGGAGATCACGTGATGTGAGGGTTCGGCCTTTGAAGTGGGAGTTATAAGTTGACGCTGAGGAGGGTGGAGGCGCCTCGCCCCTCCCATGTGGAGTGACGTCACCCGCTCATGATTATTAATGAGGGGGGGTCCATTTGGAGGACGCCACCTGGTTATGCTTATTAATGAGGGGGCTGTTCGATGTGGAGTGGCGTCCCCTGCGCATGATTATTTAAGAGAGGGGTGGGGGGTGATCCTTGAGGAGTGACGTCACCCGTTCATGATTATTAATGGTGGGGGGGGGGGTCCATGTGGAGGACTCCACCTCTTCATGATTATTAATGAGGGGGGCTGGTCGACATGGAGTGACGTCACGCACGTTACAAACAGACATTCTTGGCTCATTATATTAGTAATTCAATAAGTTATCTTGGTTACATTTTTTATCATACATACAAACAAAAAACATGGCCACATTTTTCTCGTAGGCCCTTTAGTTTTCATAGACCCTAGGCAGTGTGCTTACGGTGCCAATCGGGTACAGCGACCCTGAACCCGACAAGGCCAAACACAATTAAATTGTCGTGCGCACGAGCGTTTAACAACGTGCCGAGTTGTTATCGTGTGACATTTGTTCACCGGTCATAGCTACAGTTCAACAATTAGACACGAGCCCAAAACAAATCAAATATGAAGTTTAAAATGTGTTTTGCGTCCTCCGTTCCGTTGATTTCCCCGTATCCTGCCCCTATTCCTGTCTAATTATCCAGCTGGCTGCATAATCTAATAAATAGCTTGTCCCATTCACCCCAATTAAGATGGAACTTAAATTTCATCGATGTTGATTCAATTTGCTTGCACACTGCATTGATTAAATAAAGAATATTAAAAGAAACAAAACTGGTCTGGGAACTCAACAAACACAGTTTTGTCAGAGTTTACAAATGTAGCCGGGTGGCTTGGGGTGTTAATATCGTGACAGAGCACCGAGCCACCACGGACGATCGAGCCCCTGGGTTTTAATCCAGGTGAGCAAGTGTACCGTGTTGACCGTCTGAGCCCGCTTCACCGAATGACTGCGCAAACGAAAGCCGCACGTTAGATCTGCTCAGTCGCTTAATCCGGCCAACTTCTGGTCCGAGAGGCTCACGAAACATTTAAGTCGGTTGTCACGCGTCAAACAGCTCTCGGAGTGGGGCCTGTGAGAAGGAGACACCGCCGCTGTCACCGTATGGTGTGGGACAAGAGGGGATTGGAGGAGCCCTCCTCAGAAGTGGCTCTGCAAGGTCGCATCCGTCCAGAGGTCGTTGTCGAGCCCTGGGTGACGTTCCACTGGCTCGAGATTAATGCGTGTTGAACTGAAACGCGCATTAATCTCGTAACGTGACGCTGGTAGCACACGTGGGATATTACTGGTAGGAACCTCCTGGTTACACCAGCCCACAGGGGATTATTGTGTCCGTCGTGCAGGGAGGGGCTGGGTGGGGAGGGAGGGGCTGGGTGGGGAGGGTGGGTGGGTGGGGCTGGGTGGGGGGTGGGAGGGGTGAGGCTGGGTGGGGAGGGGCTGGTCACCCCGTGGTGTCCTTATAAAACTCAACGTTTAACCTACTCACGCCGGCTTGTGCCCACTCTCACACTCGGGCATATTTGCGGAATACACCACACCGCCGTTGACCTTGGCCATTGGCCGAGCAACCCAACTTTCCTACCAGCTCCCTCCGCAGGAATGTGTTTCATGGTGCAGAGGAGAGAGAGACACACAGCGTTGTGCGTCTGTCCGTTTCTCTGTTACGTTAATTAGTATAATACGAACCTGTAACGCGCACGGTGCTTGCTCGCTCTCGTAGAAAGAGGACGACTCCGCGGAGTGAACCACAGAGAGGCGGGAAGGTGGGTAGGCAGCTCGCCATGAGGAGCCGGCTGCCAACAACTGCCAAGCTCTGTGATCCCTATATAGTAAATTGTTATCGGCCAATTAATTATTGTTTACATGCGAGAGGAAAACGGAGCAACCGGAGAACACTCCATCCCATGCAGAGAGAATAGATGGAGTCCACATTTTTGCTGTACCGCCTGCGGCTCCTCAACACCCACGTGAGAGGGAGTTTTAAAAACATTGGTGCGGTGATCCACCAACCGCTCAGTGCTGGACTACAGGCCGCGTGCACAGCCACCACCGCCCAGTTTCTCTCCTTTTAATCTCACTGCGTGTCGCCCTTCTCCGTGCGTTTCTCTGCTTTTCTATTACTGTAATCATCTTCAAGTCTCTCTCCCCGTGCCTTTCTGTCCGCCTCTCTCTTGATCTCTCCATCTCTCCGTTGATTTAATTCTCTCTCTGTCTGAATCTCTCTCCAGGCCTCCGTGCGTGGGTCTGTTACACGTCTGTGCATCTCCCTGCGTCTCTCTCTCACTGCCCATACTTCTCACTGTGTCTGTCTCTCTCTCTCTCCATACTTCTCACTGTGTCTGTCTCTCTCTCTCTCCATACTTCTCACTGTGTCTGTCTCTCTGCAACTCGCTCTCTCGCTCTGTTTTTCACTCTCTCGGTCTCTAGGTGCCGTGTTCCCCACGTTTGGACACGACTGCACTTAAGTCGTGCGATGGCTGTGAGCCAGAGGCTACGCAAACAAGAATACGAAACCGCGGGGCATCAATCACGGCGCCTGACGCCACGTGTACGGGGGCCAGTGCAGGGCACCAACTCAAATCCTGCGGAAGGTGAACGCAAAGGCACAGCCCTGCAATGTTCTGCTCACGCCACTGCGAGTGGAAGGGCCTCCACGAGGTGGAGCTCTACATGGAGCCCACTCGTTCAAGCGCCTCCTTCGCCCTGCACCCCCCTCCCGCTTTCGTTCCTCTTCCCTTCTTGCTCCCCTACACGTAGCCAACTCCCACTGAAGCACATCAAGCACTCATATTCACCGACCTGCTTCCCTTCCTCTCTTGAAACAACGCCCAGCACATCCTGCTGCTGCTGCTGCTACTCCTGCCCCCAGCTAAAACCAGACCAACCCTAGCCCCTATCACTCCCCAACCCCTATCACTACCCCAACACCTATCTCCAGTTCACGGGTGTCTTCATCTACGGATCGATAGGAAACTGACAATCCAGTTCACGCGTATTTATCCCCACCATTGGGGGTGAGGGTTAGGTCCGCCCAGCGTGCAAGTCGAGACGCAGACCCCGGCACGTCACCTGGGCGCGCCACCGCCACCACCGCCCCCGTTGTCGGTGATGATGGAGAGAGAGAGGCATCGCCACCAAACGTCAGACGGAACGTCGAGAGGGGATCTTGGGGAATGTTGGCTGGCGGGTCACAGGCCCCAACGTGTGAACACGCTGTCCTCATTTCGCCTTCCTCGTAATAACCAGGGCGGTCCCTGGAAGGCGCCTCCGATTAGCACGGTTGGCTACGTACGGTACGAAAGAAGTTTAACATACGTACACACAAGGTGGGGGAGCACGGGGCAAATCCCACCGCGTGGCCCTCCCGCACGTCTTCAAACTAAACCGGAAGTATTGCATCGGACACCGTGACGTCGAAGCGCCAGGCCCCCCCCCCCCCAAAGCGTGGGGCCCGAGGCGGTCGCCCTGATGATTCGCCGTACCCCTAGAGGCGGCTCTGCTCGAAATCTTCCGGCGTGGTGAAGTACGCGGAGCGGCCTCGCTGTCTGCCAATCGCGCAACGCCCCCCCATCGCTCGTCTCGGTTGAGATCCCCGATCCAGTTGTGGAAATTTCCACATTCCCCTGCGGCGCGTTGTCGGTCGTACCGCGCGCCGTTGGGCACGAGGGCCCTGAAGACGGCTCGGATTCTAAACGAGGAGCTCCCACCAAGTACTTGGACAGAAACGTCGGACATCGCGCCAAACAACGGGGGGCAACAACCCCCGAAAGTGCATCATCAGCGGCACACCCGCACGGTGGCACGGCACATTCCTGTGGCGATACCAGTCTGTTACACGGTGTACAAAGACAAAGATCCCCCGTATAACCTTCAACAGACTGTTCTGGCAAGTGCTGTTAGCAAGCAGTACCTATGAAGGCCGGCACGGCACTCGATGGGGGTGGTCACCACCACGCTCGGCCGCCTTTGTCTCTCCAGTGGCGATGTTTACACATCACACATGGTACTCATTTGAGGCTGAGTCGACCTAGGGGAGGCCGAGGACCGGTTCAGACAACCGAACACGGGTTGCCGGGTTTGTAGTGCAGCGCGCTCGCCACTGCATGCATGCTCCTTGTTTTGCCAATCCACTGCTGGATGAGGGCCTCCCCACGCCGTGTGGGGGCGGTGGCGGTTATTTGACCCCAACTCAGCACGTGTGCTCGGAGCGGGTCGGCAAAGGTCGGGGGGGGGGGAGCGTAAAAGTACAGTCCAACAATTGATGTTGATGCGCCGCTCCGTGCCGAGTGCGCGAGCAACATGCGGCCGTGAAGTTGGCGTACGGCGTTGTGGAGGTCACGCGTGACACGGGCCGAAACGTGTGCCAAACGAAGGCCGCCAATTGTCGAGAACGACAGCGAACGCCGCGCTGCCGGTGGGCCTTGCCACCTATTCGGGGGCCATGTCGGGTCGCGTGGACATCCCGGACGGGGCACAAACAACAACCCACGCGCAACTCGTTAAAAAAAACACGCGGCCTGCAGGCATTCCGCGCGTGTCACACGCCGCGCGTGTCCGTGTGTGGGTGTGACAAATGCTCGCCAAGAGCACGTGCCGTGCATGCATGCTCTGCGAGAGGAGGTGTGTATACGCAGATTCATTGTTGTTTGTGCATGGGGGTCTATATGTGTGTATAGCTGTGTGTGTACCTAGGTTGACTCCGCCTCAAATGAGTACCTGGTGTGTAAACATTTCCACGAGGGAGACAAAGGCGGCCGGGTGCGGTGCTGGCCACCCACCCCCCTCGTGTTGTGCCGACCTTCAGAGGTGCTCGCTTGCCCCAACAGTCTGTTCAGGCTATACGGGGGATCTTTGTCTTGTGTGTACCTGTGTGTGCTACATTTTAATTGATATTACGGACACCCTTCCTCCGACTGCCTCTCCCCGAATCCCTTTGCCTCGGAGCCCATTTATCTAATCCTCCCATCGCCCTCTGATCCCCCATCGTATTACCCAATTTTCTCTTCACACCCTTCTTTCCTTTGACCACAATCGTCTCCGATCCCAATTTTTGCCAATCCCTCCGCTCTCCGACACCGCATCTCGTCATCCCCCCTTTCCTCTCATCGCCGCTGTCCCATCCTGAAGCTGTCGAGACTTCTTTTCTCCCCAGCCCCCCCCCCCCCTGGCCTCCCCGCCCCCCGTGACCCCCGCCCCATTGATGCGGGAGCGATGGAGCCGGTCGATATCCCAAGTCTCGAGCCACCGGCTCAAAGTCCGCCCACCTGGCACTCTCATCTCCCTTGGCAATCTTCCCCCCCCCCCACCACCTCGTCACCGTCGGGCGGTTGCGATGATGATGATTTCGCGTGGAGGAGGAGGAATAGGAGGAGTGGGAGCTTCAACAGTTGACGGTGAAAGTTTTGAATGCAGTATGGAAATTCATCGCCGCATTTTCACCGAAGATCGAACGGAAAAGAAGAGGAACATTCGTCGATGAGACTTGAGTCGCACGCTTCGAACTCCACCTTTACCATATGAACTGTTTTTCAGTTGGCTCGTTTAGAGCGAGTGATGATATTCACAGGTGCATGCAGCTAGCTGCTGGGCTGTAGGGCTGCGAGAGATGTTGGCCTTCGGCCAGCGGCGGATAGACAACAGCTCGTGATGACGTTCCTATTAAATCGTCGGCTAAAGTTAGCCACGGAAGTCAATGCACGCAATTCGACTCCACGGGCAGGGAGGAGAACACGGACCAGACTTAACAGAAGAGCGGGCGTGCACAGAGGGGGGATGGCGGCTGGCAGAGACACAGCGATGATCCGAGCCGAAGTGCCAGAGCGAGGTGCGATACGGCAACCTTCGTCAGCTGACGGGGTCATGCACGATCTACGGCGGCACCACGCTAAATTTCACTCGCAAATGTGTAAACAAACTAAAAACTTTAAGGAAGGTAATTTGTTATCATTCTCCCACTTTGTTTACCGCGTAGGCTTTCGCGACAAATATGATCCACACCGGAAGGTTTTGTTGGGTAACATCGCGTAACTATAAATATAAATGTGTCATTAACGACGTCGTAGACGTCAAAGCCGGCTCAGCCAAGGCCCCCTCCAGTTGGAGACATGTCGGTCGATTAGTTACCGTGGACGCGGCATCTGATCGACATCGCCCTGCACACTACGCCACGGCGCTTCGCATCGAAACTCCTCGACGGGAATGAGCCCGGAATAGGATCCCGGAATAGGATCCCGCACTTGGCAACGCGACACGAAAGTCGAACGAAGCAGGATGGATGGAGGGGGGAGGGGGCCATGTGGATAATCCAAGTGGAAAGACGCAGAGGTAAATGATCCAGACGACCATGGTTATTCTTATCAAGTACATTTTCCGACTCTCATTATCCACTCTGTCTCTCTGGCCTCTATAAACGTGTGCTCGAGAAGAAGGGCCACTGCTTGAAACATCGCCTATTATATATTGTCCTTTTAATGCCACAAAGACAAAGATCCCCCGTATAGCCTTAACATATTGTTGGGCCAAGTGCTTTTAGCGAGTAGCACCTGTGAAGGCCGGCACGGCACACGAAGGGGGTGGGTGGCCAGCAACACGCCCGATCGCCTTTGTCTCCCCAGTGGCGATGTTTTTACACACCGCACCAGGTACTCATTAAAGGCCGAGTCGACCTAGGGGAAGCCGAGGACCGGTTTGCCGTGAGTGGGAATACGAACTCGGGTCGCCGGGTTCGTAGTGCAGCGTAGCGTTGACCGCTGCACCACCGCTCCCCACGACACACGCGCGGTGTTGTGCTGTCTGTGCGACGCTGCCATCGCAGCAGCATCGCCCAATAACTTCGCTTAATTTAGAGCAGCGGTCTATAACCTATACTACTCAAGCGTTTAAAACAACGTTCAATCTTAATAAGTACAGAGGGTTTGATGAAACAAAGTAAGTTGTGTTTTCGATGGTTTACCTTCGAACTCAAAATCTGGGCATGTCTCGCATCCCACTGATTTAGAAGAAGGGGAACGGGACCGAGAGAACCTTTCCACGTGCCAATTGCCTGTTGCGCGGCAGGGAAGGGGCTTGCGGAACGCATCCCCCGTCGGCGAATGCGGCCGGTAGCGCAGCAGCGGCAGCTGCGTTCGGTGGCGTCATTCGTGGAGCAGTGAGCACGCCCAGCATGCACCACGGTGCGTTCCGAACCAGCGACGGAGTCACCTTGGGGCTCAAATGACGATGGCAGTGGCAGCACCGCAAGTGGCGATGGCACCAGCAGTGGATAGCATGCGGCCCATGACAGCGAAGTCTCCATCCAGCAGTGGAGAAACCATCGAGCGATGGTGTCTTGCTATAAACCGATAACCATCGCTCTACGATGATGTTTTAAATATGTATCTCAAGTCTCAAATGATTGGTTGGCAACTGTCCCGAACATCAGCGCAGCCTCATTGAGCCCGTGTTGGAGGAGAGGGGGGGGTGCGGAAGATGATATCGCTTCACCACTGCACGAGGTCCCCCTTCAAACGCCTCTCACCCGCCTCTCACCCACACCAATCACGCGGTGGGTGGCGTCACTTCCAAAGCCATCGTGCAACCCACTGAACTGTTATCCGCTAGGGCAATCAATTCGAGACAACGTTTGTAAACTAATCAATCGGAGCAGGAATAACCCGTTCTTGAGTGATGAATTCCACGTGAGATTGTTTGTGTAGTTATTTGGCGAGACCTGAACTTCAACTGGCTGGACTTGAGAACCCGGTTCCATCGCGGGCGGTTTAATTCGCACGGTTGGCTACGTGCGGTGCGAAAGAAGTTCGACACAGTACACAATGTACACACACGGCGACACGTGTGCGTGTACACACACACACACATGTGTACACACACACACACATGTGTACACACACACACACACATGTGTACACACACACACACACATGTCTACACACACACATGTCTACACACACACACACCACACCTCTAGCAGACTTTTTGGGACAAGTGCTGTTTGCGAAGACCTGTGATGGCCGGAACGGCACACGAGGGGTGGGTGGCTATCACCATGCCCGGCCGCCTTTGTCTCCCCAATGGGGATAATTGCACAACGCGCCGTGTACTCAGTTGAGGACGAGTCGAGCGAGAGGAGGCCCAGGACCGGTTCAATTAAAAACGTCAAATAGTGTTGGTGGCCGTGAGCGGGAATAGAACTCGGGTCGCCGGGTTTGTAGCGCAGCGCGCTGACCGCTACACTACCGCTCCCCACACACGCGTACACCAACACAGCCGTCATTCGCCACTGCGTGACGGCGCTTGTGCCAGGCCAGGTGCACCTTGAGGCCACGTGAAGTGTCGAACGCCCGCTGGCAGGAGGTCACGGGGCAGACCCAGGTGCCACGGGGTCGACTGACTGAGATGACCGAGATGACTGGCTGATGCACCACCTATGCCCCCTACTGTGCCAACTTGCTGTGCTTTAGTGACACGTGTACACACGTACACACACACACAGTGACACGTGTACACACGTACACACACACAGTGACACGTGTACACACACACACACCCCACCGGGCACCCAGGCGTGCCCGCTGCAGTCACTGCGACCCGCGAGACGGCCCCTACACTCGCGAGCTCTCCCCACTTTGTTCGCTTCCCCGTGACAGCCCCACACGGAAACAACGCGACCCGTTCCACTGAGCGCCTCGAGGGCTTCGCACGCACGAAACTCGGGAGGGGGTGGGGGCCGGCACGAGCAGTGGGGGGGGGGGTCAGTTTAATTAGACCCCTCCAATTACTCTCCAAACAGCTGCCAAGAATGTCCAAACTCCAGGTAATCGCGGGCAATGATAGCGGCGAGCGGGCACGAACAGACGCGGAAAGGAGGGGAATGAGATTCTCAAAGTTGATGGTTCGGACAAGAATCAACCAGCTGTGAATGGTTCCTAGCAGCGCACATCTGGGGGGGGAGGGGGGTCCTAAGAGTTAAAGGCCCCCCCCCTCGCCCCCTCCGCACTCACCATGGCGAAGCCGGAGAGGAGCGCGGAAGTGCCGCTGGACGCTTTGAGCTTCGCTTTACTCAGCTGCAGCTTGCGCAGCTCCAGGGCGCGGTACATCGCCGCGTCAGGGTGCATGGCCCCCCACGCCTCGTCGCCGGCAAGGGGGTACCCCCCCGATCCCGGGGGTACGGCTCACAGCGAAGCGAGCGACCTCGTTCGCCCACTGCCGTACTCCGCGTGCAAGAGGAATCACGCGCGCGCAGTGAGCGCCTCCGCTGGTTCCTCTCCGAGGTCTCGGCGAGCGCTGTCGAGGCGGTGCCTGCTGCAGTTGGAGGCTCCGTGGGGGAGGGGGTTGGGGGGTGAGATGATGGGGGGGGGGGGTGAGATGATGGGGGGGGGGGGGTGCGAGTGGAGGTGGCTGTGGGAGCGATAATCCAACACAGCCGAAGAAGACTCCTGCGCCACATCCGCGTTGGTCTCGCGCGGGGCGCACGCCTCCTCAGCCCCGAGCCTCCCACCCCCCATGCCACCCGATACCCAATATCAGCCCCTACCCCCTTGCCAGCCCTACCCCCACTACACCCACAACCCCCTTGCCAGCCCTACCCCCACTACACCCACAACCCCCTTGCCAGCCCTACCCCCACTACACCCACAACCCCCTTGCCAGCCCTACCCCCACTACACCCACAACCCCCTTGCCAGCCCTACCCCCACTACACCCACAACCCCCTTGCCAGCCCTACCCCCACTACACCCACAACCCCCTTGCCAGCCCTACCCCCACTACACCCACAACCCCCTTGCCAGCCCTACCCCCACTACACCCACAACCCCCTTGCCAGCCCTACCCCCACTACACCCACAACCCCCTTGCCAGCCCTACCCTACACCCACAACCCCTTTGCCAGCCCTACCCCCACTACAACCACAACCCCCTTGCCAGCCCTACCCCCACTACACCCACAACCCCCTTGCCAGCCCTACCCCCACTACACCCACAACCCCCTTGCCAGCCCTACCCCCACTACACCCACAACCCCCTTGCCAGCCCTACCCCCACTACACCCACAACCCCCTTGCCAGCCCTACCCCCATTACAACCACAACCCCCTTGCCAGCCCTACCCCCACTACACCCACAACCCCCTTGCCAGCCCTACCCCCACTACACCCACAACCCCCTTGCCAGCCCTACCCCCATTACAACCACATCCCCCTTGCCAGCCCTACCCCCACTACACCCACAACCCCCTTGCCAGCCCTACCCCCACTACAACCACAACCCCCTTGCCAGCCCTACCCCCATTACAACCACATCCCCCTTGCCAGCCCTACCCCCATTACAACCACACCCCCCTTGCCAGCCCTACCCCCACTACACCCACAACCCCCTTGCCAGCCCTACCCCCACTACACCTACATCCCCCTTGCCGGCCCTACCCCACTACACCCATGACCCCCTTGCCAGCCCTACCCCCACTACACCCACACCCCCTTGCCAGCCCTACCCCCACTACACCCACATCCCCCTTGCCAGCCCTACCCCCACTACACCCACAACCCCCTTGCCAGCCCTACCCCCACTACACCCACAACCCCCTTGCCAGCCCTACCCCCACTACACCCACAACCCCCTTGCCAGCCCTACCCCCACTACACCCACAACCCCCTTGCCAGCCCTACCCCCACTACACCCACAACCCCCTTGCCAGCCCTACCCCCACTACACCCACAACCCCCTTGCCAGCCCTACCCCCACTACACCCACAACCCCCTTGCCAGCCCTACCCCCACTACACCCACAACCCCCTTGCCAGCCCTACCCCCACTACACCCACAACCCCCTTGCCAGCCCTACCCCCACTACACCCACAACCCCCTTGCCAGCCCTACCCCCACTACACCCACACCCCCTTGCCAGCCCTACCCCCACTACACCCACAACCCCCTGCCAGCCCTACCCCCACTACACCCACAACCCCCTTGCCAGCCCTACCCCCACTACACCCACAACCCCCTTGCCAGCCCTACCCCTACACCCACAACCCCCTTGCCAGCCCTACCCCCACTACAACCACAACCCCCTTGCCAGCCCTACCCCCACTACACCCACAACCCCCTTGCCAGCCCTACCCCCACTACACCCACAACCCCTTGCCAGCCCTACCCCCACTACACCCACAACCCCCTTGCCAGCCCTACCCCCACTACACCCACAACCCCCTTGCCAGCCCTACCCCCACTACACCCACAACCCCCTTGCCAGCCCTACCCCCACTACACCCACAACCCCCTTGCCAGCCCTACCCCCACTACACCCACAACCCCCTTGCCAGCCCTACCCCCACTACACCCACAACCCCCTTGCCAGCCCTACCCCCACTACACCCACAACCCCCTTGCCAGCCCTACCCCCACTACACCCACAACCCCCTTGCCAGCCCTACCCCCACTACATCCACAACCCCCTTGCCAGCCCTACCCCCACTACACCCACAACCCCCTTGCCAGCCCTACCCCCACTACACCCACAACCCCCTTGCCAGCCCTACCCCCACTACACCCACAACCCCCTTGCCAGCCCTACCCCCACTACACCCACAACCCCCTTGCCAGCCCTACCCCCACTACACCCACAACCCCCTTGCCAGCCCTACCCCCACTACACCCACAACCCCAATGTTAGCCCTAACCCAATGACAACCCCAATCCCAATGCCAACCCTAAACTCAATTCCAACCTTAGTCCCAATACCAACCTTACACCCCCCCCCCCCCCCAATGCCATCCCTCCCCACCAATGCCATGTCTGTGCACGTACAGCCCTTGGTCAATCCACTGCTGGATGAGGGCCTCCCGGTCGCCAGTTCGGCGACGATCCTGTTCCCCCAGGACTAACGAGGGACACGGCGGCGTCGACCGCAGGGACGCGACGGGAAATCGGAGCCGAAAATGAAGCGACTTTGAACTTCTGTTTCACTTTGAATTTCTCAAAAAAAATTATTGTAAAGTCGCGAGGAAGATTTCACGAAGGAGACGGTGGCGACAGGTTGAGTACATGCGTGACGGCCCCCTCTCCGTGCCGCCGTTGTTTGGGGGTTGTTTGACCATATTTCACCGCACTGGTGGATTGGTGAAATCAGAGACCAGAGTCGTCATCAACATCATCAGCGGCAGCAGCCATGGTGGTGGGTGAATCAACTGCCGAATGAAGTTCCCAGCAGTCGCCATCTCTCGTCCCCTGCGATGTGACGAACAACACGAGGAGCCGCACGACGCGCGGGCGGATTGCATCGCTCCATCTCCTCGCTGGCTGTGCTCTCCTTGCGTCCCTGGAGCATAGCGAAGTACAGTACAACGTCGCGTCTTGCTCCACCGGCCTCTGCTGGCAATGCAGCTCCAGTAGTATCTTACACATCGAGGATTCATTCGCGTTAAACGGATCGATTCCAGGTTACGAAAGTCAGGAGCCGATCCTCGTGGTGGTGGTGGGAGTCGAGTCGTGGTGGCCGCGCTGCGCCAAGTGGCTGTGACCCAGCGCTGCGGAGGCAGCAGCGAGGGTTTGGTGGGTCACCGCCAAGATACATGTACAGTATGTTGAACTTCTATCGCACAGTACGTAGCCAACCGTGCTAATCGGAGGTGCGGGGAAGGACAACAAACTAACACACAAAAAGCAGTTGGAAAGAAACGAGTTTTCGATCGAGATTGTTGTTAAAATTTAATGTTGCGAAACTCCCTTCCCGTGGTCGTTGTCGAAGAGGTGCCATACACTGGCTCGCCAGGAGAAGGCAGTACAGCAAAGTGTGGACTAATCGCCATCTGTTTCCATCTGTACGGGGATAGAGTGTAGCCCCCTCGCGCAAGGCATGGAGAAGTTTATCCGGGGGTTGTTGCCTTCCTCGCGCGCCTGGGGGGTCTCTGGGTTCTCCGGTTTCCTCCCACGTGCACCAACTCGCCATGAATTGGCTGAGTTCGTGACTTTACCGAAGGAACCAAAGAGTATGGATTCCTGCAGTCACGAAAGCTTCAAATCAAGATTGAAAATAATAAAATACATAAAAGCCCAACGTGGCAGCAGGACCCATCGTGAAAACGAGTTCTACGACTCAGTGTGGCTCTCCTGGAAAAATAAGTTAAATAAAATAAAATCTGTGTCGAAACCGGTCCAGGATTACAGGCCGCGTGCATGGCCGCCACCACCGCCCCGATAGTGTCTCATCAGCAGTCAGGCTCGCTTATAGATATATTTTTAGACTTTTCATAACTGTAAATCATTCATATTGTTGTTAATAATTAAAAGATGTGGTCCCATTCCCAAATGTTCTCGCTGGGTGTGGCACTGATAAGAAGGCCCAGAGGCTACAAAAGGACGGGCGGCCCTGGCTTGGCCCGGCACCACCCCGCCCCTCTCCCCCCCCCCCACAAAGTTCACTCTTCCCCTGAGCGGTGCGTGAACAACTCGGCACTTGCCCCAAAAGTCTGTTAAGGCTATAAGGGGGACCTTTGTCTGTGTGGGGGGTAGCGATTGTGTAGCGGTTAGCGCGCTGCACTACGAAGCTGGCTACCTGGGTTCGATTCCCACTCATGGCCAACACCAGTGACGATTATCTGAACCGGTTCTGGGCCTCCCCTAGGTCCACTCAGACTCAAATGAGTAACTGTGTGGTGTCTAAACATCGCCTCTGGGGAGACAAATGCGGTCGGGCGTGGTGCTGCCCACCCACCCCCTCGTATGTCGTGCCGGCCTTCATAGGTGCTCGCTAACAGCACTTTCCCCAACAGTCTGTTAAGGCTACACGGGGGATCTTTGTGTTTGTGCCACAACAGAGCCCAGCGTTAACACGAGAAAGGCTACCACACGCAAACAGGATGTGGGACACATGCCTTATTAATTTATTTATTATTAGAGTTATTATCATTCAGCTTTTGTGTACCCCAGGAAGGCCTCGCTGAGTCTCGAGCCTCTGTGTCAGGATGGCCCTGCCGAGTTGTAGTAGTAAGGAGGATGAGAGTGCGTAGCGATGTTGCCGCTGCTATGTGTGTGTGTCATGCCAACGGAGTCATTTGCGGGTACAATTCTCAGCAATTGGGATGATTGGCCAATACCAAGCAGAGAGCAGGAATCAGTGGCGTAGTAACGACATTATCAGCTCAGGGGGTGCTGCAATAGGGCAGGTGCGGCCCCAATACTGTTGATAACATTAAAATATATATTTTTTATTTTACCAGGGAAGGCCCACTTAGCTGTACAGCTTTTTTTTTCAGAAGCGACCTGCCCACAAATGATCGCTCAATGAAGTGGCTTGACATAGTGGGCACATTTAGAGCCGCCAAACACTCTCACCGCATG